TATATTTTTTATCAAATTCTTTTTTGATATAAGCAGCAATATCTTTTTCAATATTGTATTTTTCAAGTGCTTGTGTTGCAATATCAACTAGAAGAAAAATAAAATAAATTATTTCTTTTTTTCAAACTCATATATCAAATAAATATAACACAAACCTGCATCTTGTTGCATGTCTTCTGACATATCAGCATTTTTAATAACAGCTTTACGATCAGTCATGGTTCAAGTTTCTATTGAAACTATAAATAAAAAAAAGAACAATTCTGTTACGATGATCAATGAACATACATTTACATTAACTCACTTTAAATTACGAAGACGACGAAGAGTGAAGCACAAATGAATGGACGCTCTATTTATATAAGTAACGGTGAGAGAGACAGAGAACGAGAGAGAGAGAGAGAAAGAAACCTAATATCTTTTCGTACAATCGTTTGCACTCGCAGAGAGAAAGAGAGAAGAATAGACGAGCAACCTTTCAAACAACAAGCTATGGAATAGGACAAACTAGCTTTACGTGTATACTATTGAGGCAATGGTTGCTAGGCAATGTGACCATGTTCTTGCTATAGGGAAGCGCGAACAAAATTGTAATCGTTGTTAGTACTAGATGTCAGCACTTGTTGAGAAAGAACAAAAAAAAGCAATAATTGTAATGTGAAGCTATAAATAAGTATATATCATGTTATCATAAATATTTTTCGATGATTAATAGAAGAATTTATTAGAATGTATATAGCTTTTTCGTTTTTCATCGATAATAATTCAATCTATAAAGAAATAAATAAGCTTTTGTATATCAGACGCACAAAAGTAAATTAATTACTTAATATTTTACTGAAAAACTCTATTCCAATCTTGTAACAAAATCATATGACACGTCTGAGAAACTTTTTACGTTGATATATTTAATTTCATGTCAAAGATAATAAAATAAATTATTTATTTAATTTTTATTGATTAATCAATCATAATAAAAAAATATCATCTGCCTTTATAACGAGCCTCGATTTAATTAAATTTCTCTTGTCAAGTTGTTGTTCTTTCATTGAAATAGTTATAATAATTAACATAGATACTGTGTTGATTTGTATTCCATAGAAACCGATCATAAAAACAAAAAATGCGATGATTAAAATTTGAATTTTCTAATAAATGTATGTAGAAGTTGAGTAAATGTTTCACGAAATATTGTTCCATTGAGTGTATAAATATAGAAAGTAATTCCATTTCCAACATATGTAAGTGAAAAATTAAAACTGACAATAAAATTTTCAATAGCTATACGTAATGGACTTTTATATATATCCATAGTAAAAGTTAAATAAAATTGATGCAATGCTTGTGGTATCGAACAAAGTGTTAATAAAAATACTTGTAAAAGATGCATACGAGTAAGAGAACTTTCACTACGTCGAATTCCTCTGCGTTGATTTCTACTAATTCGACTAACATCTGATACAATAGTAATCATAACTGGTTGAACTGCTTGAAGAGAACGATTAATATTATGAATAGTTAAAAATCCAAAAATTAACATAAGTATTGATGGTATAGATACAGTTGAACTTGCATATACAATATCATTAAAAATTCGACAACTACTAGATTTACCATAACATTGCAAAGGTGCATTAGCAACATTGGCATCATAACAAAAAATTGATTCAAACCAAAGTATAAATGATAATGCACAAATAATAAAAATAAGTTTCCGAGCAGTTTTATATGAACTTAAACGACGTCTATGAATTTTTCTATGGCTTAAAAACCATCGATCTATTGTTGCACATACAAGTAACCAAGATGTTGTTGTTCGAAATGAATAAAGAAAAAATATACGAAATTTACAAAACCATGAACTAGTACTTGTTGGATCTATTAATGTCCATATAGCTATAAGACGAGATGGAAGACCAACAAGAAGAGTTCCAAGACTAGATATAGATGAAATAAGAAAATATAATACACATGGATTCATGCGTAATGTTGGTTGTGAAAGTACAATTATATTTAATAAATTACCAATTGAACCAAAAAGAAAAATGATTAATGTCATATAATGATTAAGTTGTGAAGATATATTATTAATTAAATTTATCGTAAGATCAGTAGTTGTATTCGACATGAATATCTTATCAAGATTAAAAATCGTCTAGTAGTTAGAATGATGCTTTTAAACTAAAGAAAAGAGAGTATAATGATAAATATGATCTTCTTGTTTCTTTTCGTGTGATTATTAATTGTCTGTATCTTTGGACAGATTGTGCGTGATACTGTCATTTGTAATGAACAAATGCCATTTCTACGATCAAATACAAATCTCATTCATTTCTTGTTTTGTTTAATTAGTTTCATAAAAACAAAATTCTTAGGGGTGTATATATATATCTTCTGTTTATTTTATATATTTATTACTATAGTTGGTACTTGTGAATATCTGATCATTTTGTTATGTCATTACCTATGAATGACAAACGACTATGTAATAGGTCACTTCAACTTATTCATTTTTGAATAATCGAGTATTATTTTCAACGTATGCATCATTTGAAACACAATTATGTGGATAAGATTTTGATCATAATAACGAATACATAATTTTATACAAACACGTTAGATTTTTTTTCAAAATGAGATCTATGCAAATAAACATATAGTCTTTATTGAAATGTGTACATATCAAAAAAGAAAATACCGATATATACATGTATAAGTTTTATTGTTCAAACACGTTGTTTTTTTAATGAATCATTTACAAAAATGATTATTTAATGAGAATATCAAAAGAATTTTTATGTAGTCGTATACATGAAAAATCGATAATCGACAAAAAAGGATAATTAATTACCATCTTGATCAGTATATCATCATGGAATATATCAAAATTATTAATTAGTACAACTAATAGCATAATATCGGATTTTGATTACTTTAATCATAGGCGTACCAAGAGCGGGACGTAACACATCCCTCCTTTTAAATTTTATGTTGAAAATAGTAAAATATGACCTATATTCACTGTACGCCCCCTCCCCTACTTTCAGCACTTTGGCACGCCCCTGACTTTAACACAAAATAATGCATAGTGATATACAATCATTTGTAAATACGAAGATGAATGTAACATATCATCATACAAGTCAAGTATTCAATTATCTTGTTGATATAAGTGAAAGTCTTAGTAATCATTCACAATTTAATACTACTGAAATAGTAGTAATAAAATGTTTTCTAGTTATAAACAGATATTTTTTCTTTAATAACCTTAAATCTCATTTTAGTTTATTATACTCTAAATAACCAATAATATTATTCCGAAAACAATAATCATTCATAATATGACGTATATGTACTAGATCATAGTCATCTTTGATAAATTTCGTTGATCTTATGGATATTTTCACTTATAAAAATACTTTATAATTTGTATTTTAACATTTCGATTTATATATGAACGATAGAAAAAAAAACTTTTATTATAAAATTCTGATACAACAAAAAAACAAAACATAGTAGGGAAATAAATATATGTCACCACACTTTCAGTTTTTGATTATTTCTTTAATCGTATAAGATATTTCCCAAAATATTTTTCCTGTAAAAATAATGAGTATTCGACTTCATGTCTAAATTTTATCTAAATTGCACAGTGAATTTAAAAAAAACAGCAAAAATAAATCTTCATTTAAAATCATCTTCATCATCATCGTCGTCGTCGTCTTCTTCGTCGTCTTTTTGTTGTGGTATATCTTCTTCAACTTCTTCTGATGAATCCCATTCGGATGTTTGTTTTTCTCCTGCAGGTTGTTCAAAATCTACAGCAACATCATAAACAAAATCTTTTGATGATGGATCAACACGATTTTTTTCATATGATTCACTCATAATAAGTTTTTTATGTTTTAATGCATCATCATCAAGTTTATTAAGATCTTCATTTGGATCTAAGTTATCAAATGTACGTAATTTCTTTTCAATATCACTTTTTGATATATTTGTTGTAAAACCTTCTTTAAGAACAAATAAAAGACGTTCAAGTCGTCGTAATGGAATATGTCGAAAAAGATTTCGATTTTTTGTTGTTTTGTCATTATGAAGTTCAGTTGTATAATCAGTTATATTTGTATTTTTAGTAAAATCAGTCAAAGGAACAGTACGACGACGAAATTTACCTGTTGATGTATCTGTATAAAATAAAAATATTGTGGGTGGTTTAAAACGGACACCCATTTTTTGCATTTTAATTGATGTTGATGATGACATGTTTTAATTTGATAAAATTTGTTTTTTGAATTGAAACGTAAAATTAATTTTATAGGTATGTTACCATGCACCGATCAGTTACTCATTAGATACCTCTCTTTTTCTATTTATTTCAATTTCCTATGGATGTTGTATTAAAGCAATGTCTGACATCTGTAGGAACAGATTTTTTATACATGAAAAAAAAAACTTCATAAGGTCTTTTATTTCAGAGTGCTAGACGTGGTGTATATCAAAAACTCACATGGCAATATTTCAATCTGAGACTTTGCACATAGACAGATCTATTGATCAATACAATGCTTCCCGATCGGAATATTAAAACTAGAAAATATCGCTATCATTTGTGAGATATGGATGCTTTATGGGTCTCTAGTATCTTGATAAGGGAGCATTCTACTGATCAATAGAGCTGTCTATGAGCAAAGTCTCAGGTTAAAATACTCCCATGTAATTTTTTTACATATCTCTCACTAGAATCTACCTTATGCATAGAGTTTGAAAATCAAAAGCGATCTATCACTTAATTATTTATCCATTTGATGTTGAAGACAACCGAAGAGAAAATTTTAAATGTACGCGATCGATAATAGCTAATTACATTAAAAATAAAAGTACTAATCGTTTGTAATGTTTATTGAAATAAAAAAAAATCACATTTAGCAGGAATATCTTTATATAAATAAATAAAAAACTAAAATGCGGGAATAATTACTATTAATAAAAAAAAGGTCTCATTTATCGATTAATTTTGATAAATTGATTGTTAATCGATGAAGTTCTTGTGTAAATTTTAATTGTGTTTTATCAATTTCTTCACGAATCTCATTAACTTTATGTATTAAATTTTCATTAAAAATTTCTTGTACATTTTCTCTATCTTGAACAACATTAGATGTAATTTCCTTAGTTTTTTTCATTGGTACATATCCAACACGGCATTGAATAAGACGCATTGCACGATTTGGTACTTGTATTGGTTTTATGCGTAATGATAACTGCGTAACATCAAATTTCAAACCAGTTAAAAATTGAGGAAAATTACGACCTAAAGTAAACATCAATTTTGATGATGCACTACAAAGTGGACCAAATTTTGCTTGAAAATTTAAAACTGAAAAGACAAAAGGTATTCGATTGTTTTTTACTTTTCACTAAATAAATTGAATTCATACCTGTCAAAATTCTTGAACGTAAATTTTCACGTTTAGCATTTTTTTGAAAATCATTTACATCACTTACAGCTAAACCAATCTAAATGTATTTTTAATTATATATTACACAAATATATACATCAATAGTTCAGTTATAAAATGAATGAAGTTTATCTTTATATTAAAAAACAAATGCTGAATTGTCTTCTTTTTCTATTTGTGAACAAGTAAAGTTTTATTGTCGTGGTCCTTTATAAAGGTCCTCACTAACCATGCCCTTATGGGTTCTGAAATGTGAGCATGCTTCTATACCTGATTAAAAAAATGAGCACGTTTAGCCAACCCGCGATGGAGATGTTGAATTTTTTCTCGGTAACGTGATTTATGCACAAGGAGGAAAAATCGAGACTCTCATACTCACATGTACTTCCCAAAGGAAGCACAGTGGGAATTCGAATGAAGTATAAGAGGAGTACAAACTTTGTACTTCCTTCATACTTTCGTTGTACTTTCATCGTATTTCCTTCGAACTCCCATGATGCTTCCCTGTACTACTCTAGTACATCCCTGTACTCCTCTCATATTTTAAAGTACATGAAGTCTCGTTTTCTCTCCCTTGTTTATGGAACATCCTATAGATGAAATCTCTATTTTCATATTATTTTGAAATAGAGTAAGCTTTTAGTATAGCTATTAAATAAAATTCTTTGTAAATCTTACCAATATATTCATAACACAAATGTGTACAACAAAGACAAATGTTGAAAAAATAACTTTAGCCATTGTTGTACCACGTACAGGTTCTCCTTCCGTATAAAATAAATTTTCAAAATTAAATTCTCCAGTTAACATTGCAATCATTCGTGGTATTGATGTAAATACAGTTTCAAATGATGGATTTTGTGTTAATAACATATGAAAAGCAAATAAATAACCAATCCATATGAAAACATAAATAAAACAAAATTTTATAAATGTTAAAAATATTGTTATAAATAAAAGACCATATTTTCCAAGTTTAAGTGAATTAACAAATACAAGTAAAAGTACAGTCCATACAGATGCAACACCTAATGCACCAAAATCATATTGATATTTACATCGAAGACTAGAATATTTCGAACAATTATTAGTATCTAAATAAATAAAAAAACAAATAAATTTCTTTTTTTTGTTGCTGTTATTGTTTTATACCCATAGCAAATATAATTCCACATGAATATGTTATGATTTCTAAAAGATTAAGAAAGAATCCACGAAAATATCTTCCACGCTGTGTTAATATTTGATAAAATTCTTTCAATAAAGCTGCACATGAAAATAGAAATAATATAAAACGAAATATATATAATATAAATGTTCCATCATCAGAATAATCAAAATTATGTGTTCCATTCGTTAATATATCACACATATCAATACATGTATCATTTTCAAATTCAACATATGTATGTTGATAAAATTTTGGTGTTCGTGTAACAAGTGTTACTCCCGTATATAAAATAACATAAAGTGCTTGTATAAGAAGAATAAATAAATAAAGAAGATTGCCGAATAAATCTGCTTTACTATCCACAGTTGTTAAAATAAGTGGATGATCATAAATAGGTGCATAATCACATTCAGATATTAAATTAAGTGGATGTTCTTTTATCCATTGAGCTGGTGTAAAATTATCTTTTTTATTGACTGTTTGACTTGTATTATGTATTGAACTATTTTGTCCAAATATACAACGTGATGATTTTGGTTTTGAACAAAGACAATCATCTATAACTGATAAATCCATACCATCACCATCAAGAAATTGTTCAAGTAAATTAGGAACAAATGGTATTAATGCCGGTACTTTTAACATACGTTGAATCTATTTAAAAAGATAATTCATTTTTTTTTGTTAATAACTAAAAATACTTACGGGTGTTTGATCGAATTGATCATATTTAAATGGTAATGAATATCGTGTTAAAAATCGTTTATATTCATCATGTAATAATGGTTCAAGTGTAACAACATTACTACTCCGAACAACTGCAATATGATCATCAACATTAGCTTTTTTTTCAATAGTTTTTGGTACAGAAACACTAACAAATGTTTTAACAAATTCAGTTTTTTTCAATAAAATAGCATATTCAAGAACATTATATTGACGTCGTGCAACAACCATATCTGTTGATGGATGAACTGGTTCAGTAAAAACAACATCAATAAGTATTGATATAATAACACGAAATCGACGAAGATCACTAACAAGATAATTAATTATATCGATTTGATTATTATCAATACATTTTTTAATTCCATCCGATGTTATTATATTCGATGCATGAACACGTCGTAATAACCATTTTGAACCAAATAATTGTTTTAAACATTTTATACTACCTTTATAACATGCTAAAATAATATAAAAATATTGGAAAATTTTGATTATTTTTAACTGTTGATTACTGCTTTCAGTAATTTCATAAGACAAAAAATATTTACCGATTGAAAATGGTGTTTGTCCGTCTGCATTTGGTTCAGTTAAATTTTGTAATGCCTATTGATTGATAAATAAAAATAGTAAAAACAAAGTATCTTTTTTTGACATACTTGAACTCGAACCGATTGATTTGCACTTAAACGTCGTAAAAGATTTAACATACTTGCAAGAAGAAGATCATTTTTTGTTTCACAACAATAATGAAAAACACTTGATTTTCTATTATCAAGTGTTATTAATGAATGAGGATCAGCTTCTACTAATAACTGTGCTTAAATTAATTCAAAAACAAAAATTATATGCAATATTAATTTCTATATAAATATATATTTATAATAGCTTACCTGTTAATGTGTTACCTGCTTGAATAGCACAAAGTAAAGGAATTTGTCCACTTGAATTGACTAGAGAAGTCATATTATTATTTTCACCAATAAGAACACGAACAATATCATCATGATCAGGTAATTTTGCTGCAATATGTACTAAGAAAAAAATTCATAGATATTAATAGAAGAATATTTAGATGAAAAAAAGTTACATAAAGTTTGACCAGTAATTGGTATTATATCTTTTTCATCTTCTTGATCATTTGAAGTAAGAGAAATAAAAACAGGTTGTGGCATAATAGGCATTGTTGCTGGTAATTCATTAAAAACAGGTTGAGCAACTTCAAGATCAGCTCGACGAAATGCACTTTCATCTTCGTTTATTATTTGTAATGATGTTCCTGTAGTTGTTCGATGATCCGTTGGATCAGAATTATTTATTTGTTGAACATATTGACCTGTTCGACCACGTTGACGAAAACCTATTTGTAATGAACGAACCGTACGCCAAAAGCGGGATGGACGTGGCTGTGGTCTATCACCTATTGGGTGGGGAGTAGAAGTACTATTATCTTGACTAGATAAGTATTGATTTGGATTATGTTTCTGTTGATGTGCTATAGCAGTATTTCGTATACGACGACATTGACGATATTCATCACCTGTATATGAATGTATGGCAATATTTGTTGTTGATATTCCAAATGATTTTGTTTTATTATTTGGATTCGTATTAAATATTGCTGTAAGAGAATTTGTTGATACCGAAGATTGATTAAATAATGATGATATATAAAGTTGTGAACTATTGGAATTTAGAGATGAAAAAGCGGACATTAACTCTTCGAGAATTACTGCTTGATTACGAACCTATTGATAAGAAAAAATATTTATCATTTACAAAAACGTTTTTCTAAAAGCTTTATATAACAGTCTCAGTGAAATGTTCCCGTATAAGTTTCGATGCCTCTTATCAATAGTGAAAATCGCAACTCAACATCTCGTTCCTATCGAAAGTTATTCCAAAAATACTCACGCGCTTTCTATTTTGAAACGGACAGTAGAAAAGCTGACTCATTACTTAGGTTACTAATAAATTCGAAACATTTCTATGTAATGTCGATTAGTATTCTATATTAGTTTATAAATATACGTACAACACAATAAGATAATATATTATGACGAATATCTGATGGATATTTTTCACAACTATCATAGTAAATATTTGCATAATTATTAATAAGATGTTCTAATTCTATTTTAGCTTTATATTTAATACATGTTGCTAATGCATGAACAAATATTCTTTGTTGAATAATTGCTTCATCTGAATGAATATTTGCAATTGATGTACAAAATGTTGTAAACATATCAAAAGTTATTTTTCCACGTCGAGTAAATAATTGATCAACACATGTTTCTAATTCATACATAGCTAATGTTCCCCAGTGTGTATTTGTATTTAAAGATATATTTGATAATAAAATTTCAGCAATAGATAAACAACCATTTTGAATAGCCATTGTAATTGGTGTATGAAAAAGTGATATATATGTATCAGCAAATTGATCACTATATGAATCATTAAAAAAATAATTGATATCGATTTCAAATGAATTTTGTTCTTGATGTATATTATAACGAATAAGAAGACGAAATGTTAATTCATTGATTTGTTCTTGTTCAAGAATACGTCCTTTTGTATATTGATTATAAGTAATTTTTTCTCCAAATGCTTTTTCTAGTTGATGAGAATGTAATTGAAGTAAATCGCGAAGAAGATATTGGTCAAAGTTTTCATAACGTGAAAATAATGAACGTTGAGTAAGTATTGTTATAAAATAAACTATTTTAAACATTGAATGTCCATCCTCACTCATTTCACTCATTCGACTTTGATTTCCTATTGATGATGAAGTAAATAGAGCGTTACATTGATAATATATATATGGTATTGATTTTGTAGAAGTAAAATCTGCATATTTATGACGAGAAAAATACTCAATAGTATTTTTTGTTAATGAATCATGGTTTAAACCATCAATATTAACTAAGTTAGAATTGAGAAGATGTTGTACTACATCATCATAAGCTTGTTTATATTGATTACCATTAAGGGGACATGCTGATGCAAGTAATAATGGTGATGGAATGAAATAAACTGTACCTTTACCTTGTTCAATTAATGAACGAAGTAAAATATCACGTGAAAATTGCATTGAAGCCTCTGGAAGAAACAAAAAAAGAAAGATTATTTTATAAAATTAAATTAAATTAAATACCAAGTAGATCAGCATCTGGAATATCTGCATCTGCAACTTCCATAGCATGTTGATCTTCTAGAAAACTATCTGTTCGTTCATCTTTATTTTGTTCAATTAAAAGTGGAGATGATAATAAAAGTTCTTCATCATCTTCATCATCACTCATAAGAGGTAAAATTGGTGAATCATTGTCAATATCATTATCATCAAGATTAACAATAGTATTGCCTATATTTGTAAGATGTGTTTTCATTCCACTAGCACGTAATAAATAATCAAATGGACTATCAGAAAAATCACGCATTCGAGATTTTGGTAGAACAAAATAAAGTGGATTCATTAATTCAGAATATTTTGTACATAATTTTTCAATTAAATCACGATCGCCAATATATGATGCCTATTTTAAATATAAATATTTACTAATTTATTTTATTACAATTAGTTATAGACTACATAGGATGTGGGTATGACCATCTTCATTCTCTCCTATTCGTATTCACATCCACACCCTCGAGTACGCATAAATATCTTTCTTTTACTTATGAAAATTTTATCCCTGTATCTGAAGGAAGTTTCTTAATGAATTAAAAACTCACATAATGAATAGGTAACCATGATCGATCACTTGGTGCATTAATTTTTTTAATTAACCAATTATCATTATTTTCTTCTTGTTGAATACTACCAGATAGAAAATTCATAATAAGATTTGTTTTTCTATGAGCAATACAAAAATGAACATAATCACATTTATCTTTTGGATATTCATTAGCAAATATTTTTTTTATTTTAGCAGTTAATCCTTCATCATTTAATAAAATCAATGGTTCCATAAATAAAATTAAATGAATTGGTGAATAAAGTCGAAATAAACATAATATTGGATATGTACGAATATTTAAATGTGTTTGTTCAACTGTTTCTGTAAGATAAACATCATTTTGTGTTAAAATAACATTTATTGCATTAATTATTATTTGATGATTATCTTGTTCATTAAGATTAAGTTTACGTTGAAGTCGATCAAAAATTGAATATAATGGATATGTTTTTATAATTGACGATGATGATGATGATGAATTATATAAATATATAAGTAAAAAATGAGCATAATTAAAACCTATAGGTCGTCGTAATGTTTCAAATTTTCGTCGAAGTTCAATTAAATAATTTGTATCCATTATATTATACTTAATCTACAATTAATTTTAAACTAAATATATCAATCCACTAAAATCTCATAAGTTTTAGTATTAAAACAGTAAATACAGAGTGTTCACTTTATTTTAAAACAATTTCGATCGTTTTCTTCTTCACCAATGATCTGTTCAGATCCGATGATTTTCATATCAGTCTATCTCATATACATTGTAGATGTTGTTATAGTATTCTTAGTTTGAATAAATAAATGTCTGGTAATAAAATATCTGACAACATCGAAGGGTATATAAAATACTTTTCGAGGGAGTGATATCTTTATTTAGTGAAACAGAAGGGGTAAATCATGTACTCCCAGAGTTCAGAGAGTACGTGGATTTCTCCTTGGTGAAACAGGAACATTTATCTAAACTGCGCTTCCATGTGTCAAAAAGTATTATTAGGCGGGTCTCTAAAAAGATTGAAACATTGCTTCTGTTACGTTTAAAAGTGTGTGTGATCGATATCACACACCCTGAGCAATAAGACCGTTTCTTTTCTAAAATAGATAATATCAAGGATCTACTAAGTTTTTCTTCATGTGCGTTTGCAAGATTTATATAAAGAACAATAGAAAAAGTCACAGCAACACTAATACGACATATTCTAACAACTAACTAAATAGTAGGAGAAGGTTCTTTGTCTATATGCGATATAATATGACGAATCAATTGTACACGTTATCATATAATATGCACGATAGAATTTTGGATTTTCACTGTTTAACCCATTCATAGCCAACTTTTGAATGAAAAAGACTGACGAGAGGGTGGACAGAACAGAAAGAAAAAGAAATGGTACATATATGTATTAAATTTACTGTTCGTGAAAGGATTAATAAAGTTGATTGATGCTGTTTTTCAACCTTTTTTAGACACATGTCTAATAGTACTTTTTGATACATACAAATGTACTTTAGATAAATGTTCCTGTTTCACTAAATAGCAATATCACTCCCTCGAAAAATATTTTACATACACTTCGATATTATCAGATATTTTATTACCAGACATTTATTTTTCCAAACTAAGAATACTATAACAATATCTACAATGTATATAAGGTAGACTGATATGAAAACCATCGGATCTCAACAGGTCATTAGGTGAGAAAAAAGTGATCGAAATTGTTTTAAAATAAAGTGAACACCCTGTACTTGTCGGAATTTTAAAAAAAGACAGTTTTATTTTGAATACTTCAAAAAAATAAATACCAAACTTTTTCAGTGTCACCAGGATAATGCATCTGAGTTACAAGTGGTGATTCAGATGTATCTTTTAGATATTAAACATTTTCTGACTGTAATTGTAGCATTGTATCAGCTACTTCAATTGCCCAAAAGTGTTAAATCATTTATTGAATTAATTTTTCTCCATTGAAACATTTAATTATTCGTTTTTATCGTTCAATTGATACATTTGTTAATGCAAATACTTGGATTTTAGAAACAGTTGATGATAAATATTTATTAATATTTTTTTTATTCCATTTTACATCAGTTTAAAACAAATAATATTTGTTTTCTCATTTTACTTTTCATATTAATTACTTCTGAAAATTTGTTTTTTTATTCAAATAATAATGATCTGAAGGAACAACAAATATATAAGTATGTCCATTAACTTTTACTTCCAGAATACAATATTTTATAACTGAGAATATGAACAACAACAACAACAACAAAAAAATGCCATTTCTATGTACAAAAATTATAACGTATTTTTTGTCTGTACGGTACAGATGCAGCCAAAAAGAAAAGATAGAGATTAGAGTGAATTATATAGACAAATAAGAAACATGAATATACAGTAAGAAAGAACAAGTATAATAACATCATGAGAAACATGCTAACAAATGAAGAAAAGAAAAACATGTTTTGCGTGTTTTTTCTTAATTGAGATCGAAACAAAATATGAGAGAATTGCACAAATAAGAAAGAAAAAGATCATACCATAAGTACAAGACGACAGGTGATTTATATCTGAATATAAATAGAAAAATTAAATAACAGTGGATGGAAGTTTATCATAGGGTGGACCAGGTGATGATACTGGTGGACGTTGACGAGATAATGTACTTTGTTGAGGAGATATTGATGGAGGTTTTATTTGTTGATAATTAGTATGTAGATTAGTATTATTATTTGTTAATGTTTGAAGAACTTGAATACAATCACCTTGGGCACATTGAAGAGGTGTACGACCATTGCTATCTACAGAAAACGCATCGCCACCATACTAAAAGAAAAAGCATTAATAAATTATTATTGTTTGATAGGAATTATGAAAAAGATTTTTGATTATCGTCCAACTGCAGTGGAAATTTACACAGACTCTTGCAAGATCATTTTTTTTCAATAGAATTTATGCAGAATCAGAGCGAGAATAAGTATTTGAGAAAACTTGTTTTTCCTTACCCAAAGTAAAAGTTGTAAAATAGTAACATTGCCTTGTGAAGCAGCTAAATGTAATAATGAAGAATTAATATCTTCATTTGATAATTTTCGATGTGCTAATATAAGTATAACTGTATAAAGATCTGTTTTATTAATAGCATCAATGATTGATTGTCTTGCTAAAGGTGGTGACATAGCTAATGGCGCAAGAAATAATTTTTGTTCATATTTATCACGAATCCATCGTTCACGTTCAGATCTTTTATATGAAAAAAAATATATATAACTATTAGAAAAATTCAGTTGATCAATACATACAATGAAGCATTTGGTTGAGGTTTAGCTCGATTTTTAATATTTGCTTCCCAAACAGAATTGGCAAGTTTATTTCCTATTGAACGCATTATTTGAACAAGTTCTGGTCTATTATATCAAAAACAAATTTTGCAAAAAAGAAACCAAAACATTTTTCTTACGGCCATTCATCAAGTTCTAATGATCGAACACGTGATAAATGTGTTCCAAGATTTCGATGTAATGATGCACAATCCATACAAATTAAAGCTCCAAGATTTAAAGAAGCCCATGTTGGATCTATACAAATATAAAAAATAAATTGATATAATCAAAATTTCTCTTATTTTTTTTTTGATTTTTTTTACTTAGTTGATCACAATCAGCACAAAATCCATTTCCATGTACTTGTTTTATTGTTTGTATAGATGCTGAATCAGCCATAGATGGTCCACCAATTTTAGCAGCACGTGCAGCTTTTGAAGATTCAATATTTTGTAAACTATATAGAATTTGTTGTTCAATAGCTTGTACCCATTCATCACGTTCTTCATTCGATTGTGCTTCAAAATACCATTGTTTATCCAATGAAACAATAATAAATATATTTTCATCACCATCATCATCACCATTATTATGATTTGATAATGATTTTGGTGTTGAAGAATTATTTACTGAATTCATTGAATTCGTTTGTTGTGCACGACGATGACGTTTTTTAGCATTGGGTGTTTCAATTTTTCCTAATGGAGATGAAACAACTACGTGATCAATAACACCTAAAGAAGAAATCATTATTAAAAATATAGAAAATTTAAAAACTTTTCATTATAATTCTATAATATTTAGTCTTTTGTTTATCATCGTTTTTATTTCAATATACATACAAAACACTTAAAATGATTAGTTAAATATTGAGGCAGACTCTAATGTATTATTAATGCTTGCGGAATTTCACATATGTTAACAAATGGACTTAGTTTATTAAAGCGTGTAGTGTGTTTGTAAAAGACCTCATGAACAATCAATTTAACATGAGCAAACAGTTTACTCAGCTACCTTATTCTCTGAGTATGCTATGATAAAAGTAGATCATGAAATTTAGTAATACAAGAGTTAGCTATCTTTGTGGTGTTGAGATAAGAGATTGTTATCTTTGACATAGTTTGTTGGACTTTCTTAATGAGTACAAACTAAAAATAGTTTATAAAAACAAATTTTTCCATTTCTAATCATATACGCTGTTTCTACTAGAATTATTTAAATCATAAAATTCTTCAAAAGATCATGTTTTCTGGAAACTAATTCGACAGGAGAATAATTTTTTTTTAAAAAAGGTAAGAAACTAACAAATTTACCTGGTGTAACCGATGAATTTGATATAATAATAGCACCATCTGATGATGTTAAATCATTTAATTTATTATCATTACTTGCACTACGTAATGCAATACGTGGTTTATTTGAACCAGGAATTTTAATTGTTGTACGTTGAAGAATTATTTCTTTACCGTGAGATTCATTTTCATAATCCTACGAAAGAAAAATATTAGAAAAAAAAAGTTTTTTTTTTTAAATAAGAAAAGAAATAAATTTACATGTAATGATGGATGATAAATTAATCGACCATCATCAAGTAAAACAACGTATTTTTTCTTCCAATCTCGATTAATACTGTTCGTTCCTTTTTTATATAGAAATCCCTGAAAATAAAAACATATATATAGTCGATATAAAAAGTTATTTTTTTTCTTTCTAATAAAAACCTGTTTAATTGGTATTGCACGACCATGACCTAATCGATCAATTTTGTTTTTTTCTTCGTCTTTTTTACCAGGCTAAAATAAATAAAAACAAAACCAAATATTTTTCATCATTTATCAAATATACCTTTCGTAAGAGGAATAGTTTTTGATAAATAAGCTCTGACATGTTTATAACATCATAGGAAATGCTAATAAATTATGAAATAGATGATAATCATGCATATGAATACTTTCAAATGATAATAATTAAATGATTCCGGTAAAGTGATTGTTATTATAATCCTAATACTAGGAGTGTATATAATATCAAATCAAAGTTGGGGTTTTGAGTTTAACATTTAAGAAATTTGAATAATTGTATCGCGCAATTGATTTTAGATCGAAAATAAAGAAAGAAATAATTTTTTTTACTTCCTACGAATGAAACAACTTCAAGTATATATATATATACTGAAGAGTAAATTTGTATGCTTTGCAATATATACAAAACAAATTCTAGAATGTCGTTTACTTTATTACTTCCTGTAGTAAAATTTTTTTGATACCATCTATATATAAACTACGTCATTGAAATAAAAATTCATTTTTCTTATTGTTATATATATATTTAATATAAACTTCATTCAATTAATTGATTTCTCTTTTTTTTTAAACTCATAGTTTTGTTCTTACTAACATTTTCTTCTTATTGCACCACTCGGAAATGCATATAGAGAAAAAAAGAAAAATGGATATATTGACGGTAATTTACATAAAACGGACTGTTTTCTCTAGAGAAAATAAAAATGAATCCCTGAGTTTTGTTTTTGTTTTATTTTATATGCAAATATTATTATTATGATAGAAAAATACTGTGTTAAAAAGGTCTAGTTTAATGAAAAAAATGGCTCGATGATTTGAAATCCACTGGAAAGAATTTCATTTTGGTAAATTTTTTGGAATAAAAGCAAAACAATTTACTGTAAAAATATTAGATTTTCGTTTTGTTTCTTTTCTTTTCTGTGTTGGTGTTGATGTAGGTGTTAATTGTTCATTTGTCTACAAATATAGATTAATTATATTTACTTCCTATTTAAAATTATATTTACTTGTCCTTCATGTCCAGGTAATGATTGTCCTTCATTAAGTGTTGATAATTTATTACCAGTTGGTTCTTTAAATGAACGACTTCGTTTATCAATTTGTTGTTGTTGTTGTTGTTGTTGATTATTTCGATCTTTAAGCACACCATTACTTGTTTGATTATTAAAAGATTGAGCGATTTGTGCCATAGGAAAATTTTGTGTTGGTGGAACAAGTATTGGCTGTTGTGGCTGTTCTTGTTCTTGTTGATAATGATATGATGAAAAGACTGATGCTGGTGCTGTTTGAGCTAAATTTATATTTCCAGCTATATAGGATGATGCTGGTATATTATGTGAATTTGATATAAGTCGAATTTGATTTGATACAGGTGATTGTTGTTGTGATAAAGAATTTGATGGATGAATTGTTATATTAGATATTGTTTGAGGTGTTAATGAACGATTTGATGCTAATACAGAATTTGGAAATCCATATCTTTGTTGAATTATTTTTTGACAAGCTGTTTAAATCAAAAGAAAAGAAAAGAAAAAAATGTTAGAATATTTACAAAAATGATTTTTTTTTAGATTATTAACCATCATGAAATACTCGTTCAACATTGAGACCATATGTAGCACATGTTTCATAATAAGTACATCGTTTGAGCTCATTGGATAATTTTCTAGCACGATCTTCGTGTATAACACGTGGATTACTCTCACTAATTGCATCTGTAAAAAAGAAACTTATGAGTAAATATATATATATGAATGAATGAAGGTAAAAAGTATTAGTTCGTATACTTTCCTTTATTGAGAAATGGAAAAGTTTGGATACTTACTCGGATCAATATATGTATTTTACAGTTTAGTGTGTAATGAAATTCTGTCGAATTAAAAATCTTTACTTCGAATAAATCGATTTGGAAATCCACATTTTAAGGTACAGAATTATTTTTTTTAATGTCACTTGTCTTACTAATGTTGACTTCGGATCAGATATAAAATATACTATAGCTTACATAGAGAATTTTGACCTAGGACCTTTGAAAAGTAACCGCTTTTATACTATATATTATATAATGAGAAGTAGCACAGTTACTGTTCCTACCATCTCAATTTATCCAAGTATTAATTACTATCCACCACTTACTATTAATTCAGTAGGTGGTCAATATCATTAAGAATATTGAAAGAAATATGACACGCCCTAGTTCTTATATTACATACATTAAATCTAATAACTTTTTAGTATTCTTTATGTTAACTATTGTAAATAAGACCTTCAAAATAGTATTCTTTTTTCAAAAGAAAATCGCTTCTATTCCACTCGATTTATAATGAAAATCAAAAATTCTTTTCTTTTACCTTGTGTTCCAACAAGAATAAAAGGCATATCAGTTATATTTCTATAATGATTCATTTTTGTATAATATTGATAGATTGTTTTAAAACTTTCTTCATTTTCTAAACTAAATACAAATATAACTGCATCAACCCAATGTGTGAACTAAATAAAAATTTAAAAAAAAACAATGAAAAGAATATTGTTTATATTTTTTTTTTGCTAACTTGTGTATCTGGTGCATTCGCTTCATCTCGTATAAGTAGTAAATAACTTTGATTATCAATATTAATTTCTTTTTTAAATCTTCCACCTTCTGGTGATTCTTCTTGCATATAAGTACCCGTTAAAAATCGATGAACTAAGGCTGATTTACCACTTATTAATGTACCTAATAAACCAATACGAATATCTAATACACTACGACTTAATGTCCATTCTTGACTGTTCACAAATGAATCTAATCAAAAAAGAAAATTGAGAATAAAACATTTCGAAATTTAAATTTTTACCTTCAATAATCATAACATGATCACGTATTTGTGTTTGAATAGTTGGTTGATCTTTAATTTCATCAATAAGTTCATAAACTGAATAAATCGATGGATGTACACTTTCAAAACGTTCAATTTCAGATTTAATAAAACTTGAATTTGTTATTTGTAATTGAGATGATGGAATCATTGTTCGATGATTATTATTATTAATATTATTTGCCATAATTAAGTCATATCATTACTATATATTAACATTGGAATTTTACTTTATTTTTTTCAATCAAAAAAATAACATAGTGTGAAAGAAAGAATGATTCGTATTTGTTTCTTTCAAGATGGCCGTTATAGTCTGGTTTTCTAATAAACCAATCAAATAAAAAGGAAATTTATTTTCGTGAAAAGAAAAATTCTTAAATGATATTGATTTCTAAATAAAACTATATTATTTTTATTTGAAATTATATAAAGTGACATCTATATATTATCACTATAGAATTAGTCTTTAACAAATAATTATATATGTATTATATTTATTATTATTTTTTTCATTCGAAATGTATATGATTGATTATTTTTTAGATATTTTCTTTTTTTGATATCATCTAGTCAAAAGACAAAAAAAAACCCTTTCATTTTGTAAATAATAAAATCGTTTTTATAAATGAGTTGGCAACCAGTGCAAGCTGATGGTCTTGAACAAATTTTGACATTATTACGTCAATCACAATCACCTGATACACAAATTCAACGACAAGTACAAGCACGTTTAGAATCATTAAATCAATATCCAGATTTTAATAAATATCTTGTTTATATTTTAACAAAATTACTTGATGAACAAGAAGCAACACGTTCATTATCAGGTTTAATTTTAAAGAATAATGCAAAATCACATTATGAAAAATTTCCTGATGATGTACGATCATATATTAAACAAGAATGTTTATTAGCATTAGGTGATCGTTCACCATTAATACGTGCAACTGTTGGAATATTAATAACCACAATTGTAACAAAAGGTTCATTAGAACAATGGCCGGCATTATTAGAACATCTTTATTCATGTTTGGATTCACCAGATGTTAATTTATGTGAAGGAGCATTTGGTGCATTACAAAAAATTTGTGAAGATAGTGCTGATCAACTTGAAAATGCACCATCACAACCTTTAAATGTATTAATACCAAAATTTATACAATATTTTTTGCATTCTCATTCAAAAATTCGTTCACATGCAATTGCGTAAGTTTACACTAATAAGTAGGAAATTGCTAATATATAAAGAAAACTTTTCCTTGTTTCTCAAATACAACTAAATAAATATTGATACATCTGTTAGTTATTGCTCATGTTTATTTTTATTATCATTTTAGTTGTGTTAATGAATTTATAACACCACGTGCAACAGCATTAATGTCAAATATAGATATATTTCTTGAAAATTTATTTCAATTAGCAAATGATACTGATTCCGATGTACGTAAACATGTTTGTCGTGCATTAGTTATGTTAGTTGAAGTCCGTATTGAACGTTTACTTCCACATATGCAACAAGTTATTGAATATATGTTATTAACATCACAAGACAATGATGATACGGTTGCATTAGAAGCATGCGAATTTTGGTTAATGATTGCGGATCAAACAATATGTCGAGATGTTTTACAACCATATTTAGATAAATTATTACCCATTCTTTGTAAAAATATGAAATATTCAGAAATAGATATTATCGTTTTACAAGGTGATATTGACGAAGATGAACATATACCTGATCGTATTGAAGATATTCGGCCAAGATTTCCTCGTACACGTACAAGACAACATATGCAACATGTATTACATGACAATGATTCAACTGATCCAAATAATAATTCGACAGCAATTATACCATCTAGTAATGAACAATTACAAGATGAAAATGATAGTGGAGATGATGAAGATGATGATGGATCAGGTATTTTTATAATAAGTTTAAAGACATATGATAGCTAATAAAATAATTCTATGATTTCAGGTGGTAATGCTGATCAAGCAACAGAATGGAATTTACGTAAATGTTCTGCAGCTGCTCTTGATATTCTTTCAAATATATTTCGTGAAGAAATTCTTCCAATATTATTACCAGTTTTACGTGAAATGTTATTTCATACAAATTGGCAAATAAGAGAAAGTGGTATACTTGTATTAGGTGCTATATCTGAAGGTTGTTTAAATGGTTTAACACCACATTTACCTGATCTTGTTGATTATTTAATAAAATGTTTAAATGATAAAAAACCTTTAGTACGTTCAATAACATGTTGGACATTATCGAGATATTCAACATGGATTGCACATGATGAAGTACAACAAAATAGATTTCTTATACCATTAATGTCTGAATTACTTCGAAGAATTTTAGATGCTAATAAAAAAGTAAAATTTATTTCTATTTTCTTATTATCATTCTATGCATATATATATATTAGGTACAAGAAGCCGCTTGCAGTGCATTTGCAACATTAGAAGAAGAAGCATGTATACAAATGGTACCATATTTAAAACAAATCCTTGAAACATTAGTACATGCATTTCGTAAATATCAAGCAAAAAATTTATTAATATTATATGATGCTATTGGAACATTAGCTGATAGTGTGGGTTCACATTTAAATCGTTCGGATTATATAGAATTATTAATGCCACCATTAATTGAACGATGGAATCTATTGAGAAATGATGATAAAGATTTATTTCCTTTACTTGAATGTCTTTCATCAATAGCAACAGCATTACAAACAGGATTTTTACCATATTGTGAACCTGTTTTTACTCGATGTATTATGCTTGTACAACAAGCATTAGAAGCTACTGGAACAAATACACCACCAGATAAAGATTTTATGATTGTTGCACTTGATTTACTTTCTGGATTAGCAGAAGGACTAGGTAAAAAGAAGTTTATATTTTGATTTTAACATGATTATACTAAATATCTTTTTTTATATTAAGCGAGAAGATTTCTTATAGTATTAAAAGAAGTATCTAAGTAATAATTGTTAAAGTATCTATGACAGCCAGCAAAAAAAGATTGAAATTCAAATTTTTAATATATATACTATTTCTAGGCTTCTTTTGTATTTCTTATGTAATCAAATGGTTGCCTCGATCATTTCTATGTGTTTGTCAAAGATTGACATCCTTTTATATTTATGACGGGGGATACTTTATCAACGTAGTTCATAATTTATACGATAAACATGACATAATATTATTTTGTAATAGAGCTTCAATATTTGTCATGACATTAATATTGACTTATATTAAATTTATCTGACATTACCTGAGTACCATTAAATCCTTATTATTTGAGAAAATTAATTAAATTTAGAAATGTTTTTAAATACCTTATCGTCTTTTCATATATCATAAAACTATACTGAATAGTCAATTGATACATTACATCCTAGACGAACTTTTTTTCTACCCTGCGTGACCCAGACAATTCTCAAGATGTTCATGTTTTTCATACGCATGCCACAAGAAGTTTGACTAGGATATAAATTAAAAAGGGCAAACAACTGCATACTATAATGACTTCAAAAATATTTATTTTCTATTACTTTAATCAACAAAATCTACATTTTATTTCTATTATATATTTAGGTTCTAATATTGATACTCTTGTTGAACGATCAAATATATTATCATTACTTGAACGATGTGCACAAGATACAATGGCTGAAGTTCGTCAAAGTTCATTTGCATTATTAGGTGATTTAACAAAAGCTTGTTTTCGTCATGTTCATAAACATTTAACTATCTTCTTACCAATATTAACACAAAATCTTAATCCAAATCATGTTAGTGTATGTAACAATGCCATATGGGCTATAGGTGAAATTGCTATACAAATTGGTGCTGAAATTCAACCATTTGTTTCAATTATTCTTGAATCATTAATATTAATTATTAATCGAAATAATATACCAAAAACTTTATTAGAAAATACTTCAATAACAATTGGCCGTTTAGGTCTTGTTTGTCCAAATGAGGTTTCAACTCAATTGCCACGTTTTATACGTCCATGGTGTATTGCATTACGAAGTATACATGATAATGATGAAAAAGATTCAGCATTTCGTGGCATATGTAATATGATCATAATAAATCCATTAGGTGTAACCAATGATTTTATATATGTATGTGATGCAATAGGATCATGGGAAAAACCACCTATGGAATTATATACAAAATTTCGTGAAATTCTACAAACATTTAAACAAGAATTTGGAAATGAACAATGGAAACAATTAACAGATCGATTTAATTTATTACTTAAAGAACGTCTTCAAAGTCGTTATGGTGTTTGATTTAGTTTAATTGTCTATAAACGATGACGAGACAATAATTTATTTAACAAGAAACCCAAAAAAGACAATGTTTTCTTCTTTTTTTTTCGTTTTGACAAGTTTATAATATCTTAAAAATTGAATAAAAGTCGTCGTAAAAAAAATAAAAGAGTTTTTGTTTTTTTTGTGATTTTTTTTTTCAGATTAATTTTTTTTAATATTTTAATGTAGAAAAGTATCGAATAAGTTTAGTTTATATGTCAGATGAATTCTTGTTTTGTTTTTTTTGTTTATTTATTGAAAAAGAAACATTATTTTGTTTTCGTTTTAGATTAATTATTTCTCTTTTTTATATGAGGAAAAAAAATTGGTATCATAAAAACTCTTGTAATGGCTTTGTTTTTGATTGATATTTCTATCAATATTACATCTTTCTTGTTATACATAAAGATAAAGATCTCTATTGATAACGAAATTTGATAGAAATCACAACTTTTCTTTCATTAACGAGAACTTCTAGTCTTCATTCATGCCAGATTTTTATTAATAAAAATGTATACAAATAAATAAACTTGACAGTAATGAATGAACTATTGAAAGTTAGTCTAATCAATATTTAAAAATAAAACTTCAAAAATCCCTTGATATTATTTGCTTAGGTTTATTTTTATATCCTAGAAAATGTCATATTCTCTTTGAACAGATTTAATAAAATCTAATGTTTATTAGCTGTATCAAAATTCAATAAGTTCCGCAAATAGAATAAAAAACTATAAATGTGTTCAATAAAAGGTGTAAAAATAGTTTTTACATACACACATCGTTTTTCTCTTTCCTCTATGATAAAACGTGTACGTGTCAGTCAATCGTTCTCCCTAATTTTTTTTTTCTATACTTTTGTTTATGTCGGTATATATGAAAATGTCATACACTGTCTCTATTACGCATGCACACATTTGTACTCGTCTTTTGCTTTATTTGGTTTGTTGCGTTTTAACATTTTTTTTCTCCTCTCCATTCGCTCAAAAACTTTTTTTCTTATCAATCGTCACAGTTGAGCACCCTATAAATAAAAAGTAATAGATGAATATAATTTTTCATATAACTATTTTGAATTCAATTTTAGATAGACAGCTGGTCTGTCGATGGATTTAACAAGTATTCTCTTGGGATTTCTTGTATTTTCTGTGATTGTTTTATTTCTTGGTGCTTTAAATTATTTTCTCGGAAGGCCTCAGGCAAGTTTAACTGTATCGGACAAAAAATCTTCATCAGATTCAATAAATCAACAGCAGCAACAGCAAACAAATCGTACTAATGCATGTGCTAATCGTCGTAAACAGGCGCGAAATGCAAAAAGAAATCAACGACAACAAACAGCAAATGTAACAAATGAGAATTTGAATGGTAATACTAATACTAAAGACAATCAAGAAACAAAATCAGTTACATCTGAAAGAAAAATAGAACAAGATGATGAAGAAGAAGATTCACAAACAGATTCTCCTACACAACAAACCGATGATGAACAAGAACAAACTGATGAATTTTATGATGTAATCAAAAATGATGAAGATGTATTAATCTCTTCTCCTTCAAATTCTATTCAAGACGAACAAGAACCATGTGTACCGGTTAGACAACGTAAAAAGCATAAAAACAATTCAATGAATAGTAAATCATTAAGTCCATCATCAACAATTCAATCAAATTCTTCATATATACCATTAAATCCACCAAAAAATGAATCAACATTTCCTTCAAAACCTCAAGCAAGTGTGGTTCCTGTTAAACAAACACATACACAAGTTACGACATCAAATATTGAATCTCATCCATTTCAACAAGATAATAATTCTAAGTCAAATGGTCATGGATCATCATCATATAATATTTATTCATATTCTGGACACAGTTCAATACCACCAAGATTTCGACAACAAAATGTTACAAATAATAAAGAAAAATTTCGTAAAAAGAAATCATCCACACCAATAAAAAAATCATCTATTCAACTGGATTCAGCCGCAAGACAAAATGATTTTGTACCTTCATTGCCAAAACAACAAACAAATAATAATAATCAATCAGAATCACCTCGACAACAACAACAACAACAACAACATGAATCATCCAATCAAAATGGGTATTCATCAGAATCAGATAATTTATCTGGTAAATTTTTTTAGAAATAAATTATGTTTACTAGAGTTCCTTGCAATTTTTTCTTATAGAAGCACCATCAACAGTACATACTAATAATCAAAATCATAGTTCTGTATTATCAACATCAACTGATTCTCAACATTCATTGAAAGGACTTGAATTATTACGTTCAGTTCCAACATCAAATATTCTATTAGAAGAATTAGTTTCATTATTTGATACAGTCTCATTTTCATCTGAAGAACTTGAATTAATTTTAAATAAAATAACTACCAAACAATTATTAAATAGACAAGATTGGCAACGTTTACTTTCAGCAACATCAACAAAAAATGATAAATCTATTGAACGTATACTTGATGAAACCTATCGTAGTCAAGCAAAAATTCTTGCTATTGAATTACAAACAGAAAAAAATCGTGTATTTGAATTAACTAAAACTAATGCTGAAATGGATAATACTATAAGACAATTACAACAACCAAATAACAATATGATACCTTATCAACAAACAATTCTATCATATCAAATGCAACTTCGAAGAGTAACAGATGAAAATGCACATTTAGCACATCAATTACATGCATATTCAATGATGCCCGGTTCAATCAATGAATTAAAACAACAACAGCAAATTCTCGATGAACAATTACGACAATTAACAATGAGAAATAGTGCTCTTGAAAAAGAAGTTGCAGATGGAGATCGTGCAAGTAAACATGCAGCAGAAATATATAAAAAAGGTAACTATAACTAATATATGAATAACATGTTATTTTTCCGTTTTTTTTAGCTGATGCTCAAAAACAAGAACGAATCGAACAAATGATTGCCGATATAAATAAATATAAAAAAATCAATAAAGATTTAAGTATATTACAACAAAAACATAAAGATCTTGAAAAAAATTCAAATTTAAAATTAAATGAATTAATTAAACAACGTAATGAATTACAAAAATCTTATGATTACTTAAAAGAAAAAGTACAACAATATGATCAATTAAAAGCAAAATATGATGAACTTGTTCAAAGTCAAGCACAAATGAAAAATGTTGAAGAACTTGAACAAGAATTAATCGAAGTTAAAGCTAAAAATGATTTATTAAGACAACGAAATTGGAAAATAATGGAACAATTAAATAAACATTCACATAAACAAGAACAAAATCAATCAGATTAGAAATACGATAATTATATACATGTGATACATTTTTTTGTTATTAATTTTTAAATCTGTTTTTATTGAATCTCTTTTTTTTTCTCTCTGTATGTTGTTTTTCTTTCTTTTCATTGTAATATTAAAATTACATTCGATCTTTCTCAATATACAACGATCTATCATTATGATTGTTTTCTATTCATACATGACATTGTTTAGACGACGCATATACATTTGTTTTGTTAATTTTAACTATTGTTATTAATTTTTTTTTGCTCTTTTTAAATTCAATAAATCTCAATTGAAATTATTTGTTTTTTATTGAAATATTCTAGCTAGCTCACTTTTATTTCAAATTTAGATCATGAGTTTTAATAAGCTTGTTTTGATTAGTTTGCTGATTTTCCTCCCAAATGTCCTAAGTGACGTAATACCACTAACATCAGCAAATATTTCCCAATATCTTCAAAATCATGTTACTTTTGTTAAATTCTATGCAAATTGGTAAGTTTATAGAAAAATACTTCGAGAATATTTTCATAGTTAAATTTATTGTGTTTTTAGGTGTCCCCATTGTAAAAAATTTGAACCAACATGGAAACATTTTAGTGAAGCGAAACAAAATAATGATCTTCAAATAGCAGAGGTAACATATTTTACAGCTTGATCAAAATAAAAGAAGGGTAGATATTTTTTGGAGAGCTACGGTTTTCACCACTGGACAAGAGGCGATGAAGATGCATCGAAACTTATCTGGAGCGTTCTGCCCATTCACCCACTTGTTGCATTATCGTGTAATCATTGCCACTATAATGCATTATTTTTCAGTATAATGTATTTTTTTTACATTATAATGCTTTATAATGAAAAATAATGGCTAAAATGACACTATAATGCAACAGCTGGCTACATGAGTAGAACTGACACCGAGAGAGACAGCAATAAAGCGATGAAAAGATTTCATTGCCAAGTACTATTAGCAAGGTATTTTAGTCATCAAAATATAGTTTACTACCATTTTGTTCCTGGAAAAGAGGAAGTTTTTGTGGTGTTTTAATGCAAAAACCGAGTTTCTTAACATATGCAATAAAAGGAACTTTTCGAAAATGTGCGACTACAACTGTTAGGAGAATAGTTGGATTCGATGTGTCTTCAACCTTTTAATTTGAAATGGGCAATAAATGATTTCAACAAAGTCAGAAGATTTATTTCGAATCTGTTGAGATTTTACTATAGTTTGTAAAACATAAATGATGTATTACGTACTATATATTATACTGCTATTAGAAATCATGAACTGTGAAATCGATAAATATGGATTTGTCATCAGTTAAGAAACAATTGATGATACTGATAGTACATGAAAGACTAATAACTTATATCACTAAAATTCTCTCCTGCTTACAGTTCAAAATGACAATAACATCACGAAATATTGTAAAGTCACTTTTAATACGTCACTATTGTTGATTATATTTCGAACTATTCGAATAAATTCCATAGTTCATATTTAATAGACTTTCGTTACGTCGATGTTTAGTAGATATCAATTCTAAACAAATTCTTTATTTTTATTATTAACTAAGATTTTAAATTTTATAGGTTGATTGCTCAGAAGAACCTCTTTTATGTTCCGATCATGATGTATTCGGTTATCCAACGTAAGTTTAGATAATAAAATACATTCATTTAGATATTAATTCATTATTTTAGTATCAAATTATTTGTACATGGAAGTGGTGCACGATATGAAGGACCACGTCATGTTGACTCTCTTGAAGCATTTTATCGAGAAAAAATTGCTGAAGATGCTAATGTATATAGAAAAATCTATTTAATATATTCACATATTATTTAATTTGATCATTGATTTAGTTTGAAGATAGTGTTGCAACTAAAACTGCTGTCTCAGAATTAACTTCAGACAATTTTGTTCAAAGAATTTCAAAAAACTTTGCATTCGTTGTTTTTTATGCTCCATGGTGTAAACATTGTAAAGTTTTAAAGCCTATTTTTCAAGAATTAGCACAACAAATGATTAATACAGAAGGATTACTTTTTGCAACGGTACTTTTTTTTATTTCTGAAAAACTCAAGATTTCTAATTCGAATTTATATTTAGGTTGATTGTACAACTCAAAAAAATCTTTGTGCTGAACATGCTATTAGAGGTTATCCATCATTAATTTGGTTTCACAACGGTGTTGAAGTAATTCTTTTTTTCATTAATAAAATAAAATTTATATAAATATTCTTCTTTCTAGAAAGATCGTTATATCGAAGCACGTCAATTAGAAAAAATGCGAAATTATATTGAACAAAATATGAAAGTTGCTGAACAATTAACTACACAAGCACCACCCATTGTAGATCAATCCGAAGAAATAATCGAACCATCATCTACAGTAAATAAATAATAGAAATAAAAAAATAATCGAAAATAATTTTAGGATACTACTGTTCTTAATGCAAAAACATTTACACAAGGAGTTAGTTTTGAAGGTTATGCATTTATTAATTTTGGTGCTCCATGGTGTTCACATTGTCAAAAATTAGCACCTATTTGGAAACAACTTGCACAAAGATTTGCTCATTATGAAGAAATACGTATTGCTCGTGTTGATTGTACAGCAAGTGAAAATTTATGTCGAGATTATGGAGTAAATTTATTTATTTTATATATATCAAAAATGAATTTTATTTTCTTTTCTTATTAGATTCGTGCTTTTCCAAGTTTGATTTTATTTCGTTATGGAGAATCAAAGGTTGAATATAATGGTGCAAGAGATTACGAATCATTAATTAATTTTCTTATCAGTCAATTAGAATTTTTTGGTGATGAATATATATTAAAACAAGAAAATGAGATTAAAAATGAATAATAACAAAGTTTTAAAAACAATGGGATCGTTATTTTTCCTTTTTTCCTATCTGTTAATGTTTATCTGTTCTTACTCTATGTATTTTTTTTCAGTGTGATGGTTTTTTTTGCTTCAATGACAGTCATGTTAATCGATTGGGACAAATTAAAAATATTTTAAACAAAAATAATTTTATTCTTATTTGCCTCTTACAACTGTTCGTAATGCACTATGAACCAGATAAAGCCAACCTTGATCATTAATATAATTCGCCTATCATTACATGTGATAATAAATAAGATCTCATAGATCATATTTCATTCTTATTGTCTAGACATTAGTTGAAAGTTCAGTTAAGAAATGATCCTTAGTTTATGATACGTAATATTGTATACACGATACTGAACTAGTTTGAATTAATAATGAAATATTCAATAACACACTTTGCAATTTTCGATTCTATTTTAAATATTGGTTTTCTCATGTATTAGAATTAAAAGTAATCAGAGATATTTCAAATACTCTCTACGTCCATCGATTTGAGTCACAAGAGACAATATTAATTGCGAATAGAATGCATGTTTATATTTACAGTATTACCCAGTAGAATTCTTTGCGTCAGATGTTGATAATTATTGATATTAGAATAGAACTAGAACGAAACGTTGGCGTACTAATTTTATATGTGTCATGATACCCTGTTAAATGATTGAGAAACAAAAACATGCCTCAAAACTAATTTACTTCCTGCATTATATAGCTGAAAAACATTTATATAATCAAGATTAAATATATCACACATGCTGTTAGATAAATGATGCACTTTTGAACTTTTTTACCATCTCATATATATTTGCATAACTATACGAGCAACGCAATTGTGTGAAAGACTACATACAATGAAAAGATCCTAGATGTTCATTTCAATAGATGATAAAAATATCCATCGTCGAACTCATTGAAATAAAAAAAATCATTCTACTGGAAGAAGTTAATAAGAAATAAATCGAGCATAAAGTACTTTTCGATTTTTAAGGACTTATTTAAAAATACATATTTTATTGATTACTTATATGTTGAGATTTAATATAACTATTTAAAAATTTTCTTAAATTATTCAATGATTTAGTAAGAAATCTATTTTTATCTATCGAGATATTACTTTTTTTAAATATCAATTTGGTTTGTATAAGCTCCATTTTGTATAATCGACGGATCATACTAATTCTTATATAATGAATATCGTCATTAAATTTCCAGACATTTAATTAGCATATTAAATAAGTGCATAATACATTTTCTTATATAGCCTATGGCTGTTATCTTATAAAAAAAGATTATATAAAATTAAATTAGATTTAATAATGTATTAAATCACGTAGGAAATCATATCTAACGTATAAAAATGTTGCTTTGTCATCGGTAAACTGTAAACCAAAAAATGGTTATCTTATAAAAATGAACATCAATCGAAGTATTCGATTTACATCGTTTTAAACGAATTATAATGTGTATTTTTTTTATTATTAAAAGAAATATTATTTTATTTACTGTAGGCATAAATAAGAAGAATATCTATGCCATGATAATTATTTGAACATTGTAATAGTAAAGAAATTAATCGGATAATTTATTAGACATGAATTGAAAGAGAAAAAGAACGTCGATCAAACATGATTTTTACTTTTTTTTCAATTAAAATCTAAGCTAGATTGTATTTTGATTGGAATTTTTTAATCGTTCTATAAAAAGAAAATCCTATCAAAGACGATTATTATTTCCTACGTAAATCACCGTTCGACAAGTACCTACAAAAAATATTTATATTTATCAACTTCGTAATTGGATGTGCTTAATCAAATCAAATCATAGAAGTTACAATATTTGATTTATTAAATATGATTTTCTAAAAAAAAAGGAAACAACGTTTGAAAATCATAAATTTATATTAAAAATATTTATCAAGCACTAATATTTTTAATAACTAATTTCCTGTTGATGATACTATCATGAGGCAGCTGTTTGCCAATTGTAATTGTTCTTTTCTTGATAAGAAACATGGTACTATTTCAACTGATTGATCTTTAGTTAGATAAGGAACACAACAACAATAACAACAACAATAATAATAAGAAGAAGAAATCAATAGAAGTTATTAGTTGAATAGCATCTATTGGTAACATGACGATGTACTTTATGCTCTTTATTTCGTTATGTATAATAAGATTTTGTGAATCACATATTGTTCAAGCTACACAACCTATTAATCAAACTTGTTTAAATTTTGGTTCGGACTATGATTGCCGGTTTTATTCATGTTTTGAAGAACGTTTTCCTTGTGGTTCAAAATATTGGATGTTAAAATGGGGTCATAAATATTGTACACGTACACAAAAATCTCTATTGAATTTTGATAAAAATGGTCAAAAATTACTTCAACAAATTTCAAATTGTTTAACAACTAAATTATTAAAACAGCGTTATTATACATTGAATAAAGTCAATTGTGAACAATTACGTTTAGCTGGACAAAGAATTTTACATGAATGTTATATGTTAAATTCCAAATTATTTTGTAATGCATTTCAAGGAAAAAATCGTGATTGTTTCTTTCAACTAATTGATGATGATGATCGACGTGATTTAACTGTTATACGTACATTAACAAGTGTTGGACAAAAATGTACACCAAAAAAAAAACTTGCTGATATGAGACCATCAGGCAAAATAAATCAATGTGTACTAACGCCTACATTATAAGAACAAGAAAAGAAATGCGTGCTTATCATACCGGAAATCAGTTGAGAGCGTCGTTACATTTAGTAGCTATTTAAAAAACATATTACATCAAGCATCTTCTTTTCTTTTTTAATTATTTTTTTAAAGTTGATACTATTGCTTTTGTTGTAGTAGATATTTCTTTATATATAAATACATAAATAAAGTAACATATGAGAATGTATTAATTTTATCGTTTATATATTTTAAGTTCGCATGAATTCACATGATTTAGTTTTTATAGACTTGTTGAATTTCATTACGATGAATTGAATAAGATAGTGGAAGAAGAGATCTTTTATTTCAACACAATTAACTAATTATTATTTTCATGATTCTATTTTGAATGAGGAAATATAAATGTGTAGGTATGCTTTAGTTGGAATAGAGAGAAAATATAGAGAGTATATAAAGAGAGAAAAAAAATCGAAGAAGACAACAATAGAATAATAGCAATGCAATTCTTCTTTGTATATTTTTCTGTTTACTCTCTTGTGTAAGTTCTATAGAGAGTAAAAAATAGAACAAAAAGAATAGAAGAGAATTAGATTCAGTTACATAGTTCATGATTAACTTTTGGATGATTGTGAATGTCGTACTGCCTTTTCTTAGTATTTGTCATTATTTGAATATTTAATTATTTCTTTCCAATATTCACATATAGATTTCTACTTTCAGTTCTTATTTTTCTATTGTATGTTAATTTCCAGTCATCATGTTTCTCTCTCTCTCTTGCTATATTTGTATATCTGTCTTATTATTTACTAATTATAATCGATATGAGTATAAAAATATCCTTTATTCGAAATAAAACCATATATCTAGATCGTTTTATATTCTTCGAAATTTTTTTAAAATAAAACAATGAGATTTAGTTATGTTTTTGTGTCACTTTTCTAATAGAACAATTACATAAATCTATGTTGTTTTACCTACATTCTAAAAAGTCATAATTATTTTATCCATTATGTTATCATGGTTAGTATAATTCTTTCCTCTCTGCTTGCACTTCATTTATTTTATACTTTTTTTTTTATCCTAGGTGGTGATACTTAGCTGTTAAGTAAGAGAGTATTTGATTCTCGGAGAGCTAATTTTTATTAACATATGAGAGTAAACACACTAAAAGGTTATTAAATACTTTTCCGGTTAGATTCAAATGAATACGTTTAGTAAAAAGTTTGAATTTTCATCATAGATATCAGTAAGATCATCAGTATCTAATAGTCTTTCTAATGATATATCATGAATTTTATTTCTAAGAAAGAAATGCATATTTCAACGTCAATGATTTTCTATTTATTTCTTTGATCCGTGTAATCGAGCAGAAAAAATCTATAGAAAACTTCTTTTTTTCTTTTTTTCTATAAGCTTGTTCTTCATTCTATAAAATCAAGTAATAATAATTTTCCATTTTCTATTCTTTCCTTTTTCTCTTCTCTTCTATAATTTTTGTTCTTCATTTCATCGAAGTTCTTGTAAAACAACATTTTAATTAATTATTTACATTTTCTATGCTATATAGTCCCTACGGATATACAGGTGTAAACTATTCCAGTTAATAAACAAATGGAAACTATCTTCAAATTGTATTAAAATCTATTACATGGATGAGTTGTAGGTGTTCTAAAAAAAAGTAATTCAATTATAGCGATAGAATCTATTTTGATAAAGGTTATATCATACGGTTAGTTAATCATTTGAGAAATAATACGCAATTGATATTCGAATGTATAGATTAAATCAAATATTTATCTATTCTATTTAATAATTCAATAGATAAATAAAGTAATTATATTTTTAGATAAATTTAGCGATTATCCTATATTCTTGTATACTCAATATTTTAAAAATAAAATAGAATAAATTATGCCAAATACATCATCATCAAGAACATTTCCCGTGATGTCATCATCTGTAACAACCCGAGAACGTACATTCCTATCTCAATTTGTTATGAGCATGGCTATAGTTATACTTCTTGTTGGATTTTGTCCATATGTCTCTTCTTCACCTACACCATCATCAATTGATCATGACAATAAAATGAATTATGATTCAAATGGTCTTACACTTAATGCAAATGATTATCAAACAGCAGGTGATTCACCATCATTATTATCACCCGTCCAACAATCACTTTCGGAATCATATATACAACCACGTGCACATGCTAATCAATTTTTAATGTCTAATACTGATGATAATCAAGTCACTGTATCAAAACGATTTACAAGATTTAATAGCAATAATCCAACAAATAATAATGATGATGATTTATCTGATTATCTTCCATATGGTATGTTAGCAACCAAACGATCATCACCGGGAAATATTGGAAGATTTTCAAATTTTAACAAACGTAAGCAAGGAACCAAACCACCTATGGAAGTCATGAATGAAATTGTCAATTCAATTTATCTTAAACGTTAAAGATTATTTAAAAGCAAATAAAATGAGTTCAATCTTGAAAAATCTATTAACTAAATTGTTTAACAAAATAAAATAATATTGAAAGAAAGTAAAAACATACATACAAACAAGCAAGAGAGGAATCTCTAACATATGACGACTTTGATTGTGTTCATAAAAAATAAATTCTTTACTACTGAATTCATTTCAACAAAAGACTTTTTTTTTATTTTGACTTTTATTAACAAGAAGAACTACTAGACTTAATTTACAATCTAGGCCGCATAGAAAAATTCATTGCATATTTATATGAAAATATTGTTTAAATTAATGAAATATAGGGTTATCAAGTACCTTTTTTAAAGATAGATTCAATTATAATAAATCATGACGATAGAATCTTGAAAATTAATTGTGTCCATGTCTTTATGAGACAAGTAAAAGATTGAATTTTTAAAAAAAAAAGTATGATAAAAATGATGTCATGTGACTATAATAATAATAATAATTATTCTAAAATTAAATTCTATTTCTTTTAAATATTTTATCAATAAAATATCGAAACAATATGTCTTCAATAATCTATTGTTTAAAAGTGACATCTATAATTTATATTATCGATACAAAAGATTGATAAATATGCTTAATAATATTCTTATTTAATTTGAGAAAAATGATTATTTCAAAAATTATTTAATTAATATTCATTTTTAATTTTACATTATTTAAATGATTGATATATTTATATATTATGATTCGTTTAATAGTATTCCATCTTATACAATAAAAATGTAAATAATAATACCTTTTCGCGAATACATAGCCAAACAATTGTATAATTTCGAAATATTTCTTATCATATTTGTCTATATTTATGTCAAATTTAGTTTTATTATTTAGATCTTTTATATTTAACTATTAGCAGCCAATATCATGGGTCCCAAATTTGATCCAGCAGCTGTCTATGAAAGTATGTTAATATTCAAAAATTAATTTTTAATTTTTCAACTAATGTTTCTTTATAGTCATGATTCGTGTCACTGGTGGTGAAGTACCAGGTGGTTCATCATTGGCTCCAAAAATCGGTCCTCTTGGTTTAGTAAATATTTTATAGATTAATTTTTCAAAATTTTATTTTCTCCTTTTTTTTATATAATTATTAGTCTCCAAAAAAGGTTGGTGATGATATTGCTAAAGCAACAGGTGAATGGAAAGGCATGCGTGTAACAGTTAAATTAACTGTACAAAATCGTAATGCTAAAATCGATGTTATCCCATCTGCATCATCACTTGTTATCAAAGCTCTTAAGGAACCACCACGTGATCGTAAAAAACAAAAGAATAGTAAAAATTATTTTATATTATTTTTGTATTATTTTTTTATCGACTTATTTTTCTAATTTAGTTAAACACGATGGTAATGTTTCACTCGATGAAATATATAAAATTGCACGTATTATGCGACCACGTTCATTAGCTAAAACATTCGATGGAACTGTAAAAGAAATTCTTGGTAAAGAACAAATTAAATTGTATCTTGTATTTATTTTAAGTATTATTGAAATATTTTTAGGTACAGCTCAATCTGTTGGTTGCAAAGTAGAAGGTTCACATCCTCATGACATTATCAATCAGATATCTAACGGTCAAGTGGATGTACCACGAGAGTAAACGCTACAACAAGAAACATCGGAAAGTGCTTTTTTTTTCAAGAAGAAAAAATAAATAAATAAGAAGATATCAATTACGACTTTATTTAAGTTATGTATATCTTGTTTTCGAATGAGTATCTGTTTTTAATAAAGTCGAAATGAAACTTCAGATTATATATTGAAAAGAACACAAAATATTTTTATAGTTCGATATTATGTGATTCTAATAGTATAATTACAAATGTTGCCAGTCAAATTGATGAGCTACGATACATAAAGTTATTTTTAGTCATTTAATTTTGATCTTAATCGAATATTTATCAGGTTTTGAGCTTTTACGTCTCGTAGAAAAATGTCAGCATCAAAACCAGACGAACAAAAAGACTATTGAAAGAAGAATTTCTTATGCAATAACACAAGTTAACTACTCAAATATAAACTTTTCAATAGTGGTTGATAACAGCTTTATTTTTTTATTTCAAAAACAACGGTTGATATTAACAAAAATGAATGCCTTCGACATTGAATGCATGTAATAATCTAAATAGATATGTTTTCAAAATAAAATAATTGTTGAATCAATGAAAATAATTCTCACCCAAGAAAATCATCAAGATCCATATGTCTTGCACGTTTTTCAGCGAATTGATTTGTTGTAAGAATTTCTTCAATTTTTGTTTTGATATCAAAATCACTCGGAACAGTCTAAATATAAAATAGAAGAAATATATATTTATATACGTACATGGTTTTTCATTACTTTATTATGAATGGAACAATGAATTTTATAATTTTTTTCTAATAATTCAATAACTTTCTTCTGTCTAAATATATTAAAAATATTTATTTATATTTTACCTAACATAAAAATTCAATTATTTACTTAAATTCAGATGATATACGTTTATTTTTTCTTGTAAAACAAATTCTTGTTAGTCCATCCCATTCCTAAATAATACATTTTAAATAGACATTAAAAAAAACTCAATTCATACTTGATAATTAACAGCTGGTGGAGGATTTTTAGGTTCAATTCTTACGACACTTGATTCAACTTTTGGTGGTGGTCGAAAATTATTTTTTCCAACCTAAATATTATTTTTAATATAAAAAAAACTAAGAATTAATTTTTCATTTAATACAAACTTTCATTAGATGATCAACGCGTGCTAATAATTGTGTATTAACAGATAAACGACAATATAATTTTTCACCAGGTTTAGCAACAAGACGTTGAGCAAATTCACGTTGAAACATAACAATTGCACAACGAAATATTGGTCGATGTAAAAGTAATTTAAATACAAATGGACTTGAGATCTAATAAAAAATAAATCAATTCAGTTTTGCTTGTAAAATTAATAAAAGTTCTTTTTTACTTGATATGGTAAATTAGCAACACATAAATCAAAAAATGGTAATTCAGTTTTTAATATATCACCAATAACAATATCTAATTTGGATTTAAATGGTCTAATTATTAATCAATAAAGTTAAATAAATAAATTTTAATAAAAAATAGAAATACTTACGTTCCTTGTACACGTTTTTGAAGTTCAGCTACGAGACGTGGATCAATTTCGAAGGCAATTACTTTTTTTGCTTTTTCCAAGAGACGTACAGTTAAATTACCTGTTCCAGGACCGACTTCAACAACAACATCAGTCGGACGAATAGCTGACTAATAAAATAAAACAAAAAAACAATTTTTATGTTTTCAATCAATGTACTACAAGATTTACTTTTTCAACCATACTAGTTATAATAAGAGGATTTTTTAGAATATGTTGACCAAATTCCTTATTAAAATTTATTCCTATAAATTAATATATTTATTAAAAAGAGAACATTTCAAATCATCTGTACCCTCTTTTTGAATTTCCTTATGAACACGACTTTTTTTTTGTGCACGTTCTTTTGGCATGTTTGTTTCTTTATCTAAAAAAAAACCACTGTGACTAAATGGATTTTAATAGGATCGGGACAGAATAGGACATTTCGTGTTTTCTTTGTCTACATATACATCACTCAAGAGAAAAAAAACGAAGATAGGACAGAGAGAAGAAAAAAAGAAATTGTCTTTTAAATTGTTTGTTTAAATCACCAACGGGTTTTCATTGATGTTTCAAGATATTCTTGATATTTAACATTTTTTAGTTGGGATTGAAATTTCGATAAACGTTCTTCATATGATGGTCCAAAAAATAGATTTCCACGAGCCCAGTGATGTACATCCGACCAACCACCAACTACACCTCTTTTAGTTGCATAACCTGCATGAGATGCATTGTAAAGACCAGCTGATACACCACCGAGAATATATGCAACTGGAAGTGATACTCCAACAAAACGAGAATTTCGAATCCACATTGCTGATATTATGACGCCTGACAAAGCACCAACAAGTGCTGCATCAATATCACGACCACTTTCTGTTTCTTGATAACCACGTAAAGCACGAACAACTGGCCATGAACCACAATAAATAAGACATGATGCAGTAAAAAATGCACATGGACGAAGTGCACGAAATATAGCAGGATTACGAGGAACTTGATAACGTGTACGAAGATTACGATAATTAACTAAATATAAATAGTTAAGAAATACAAAAACATTTCAATAGATTTTTATCTTACGAGCATAAATAAATATTGATGCTTTTAAACCTAAACCAAGACCTGCAGCCAATCGTTGAGGTATTGGTGCATCAACATCAAGTGACCACATACCAGTTGATGTAAATTCTTTTAACGATTCCCATCCATTCTCACTCCAAAAAAATCGTGTAGCAATACGTGTAGGTGCCCAACGATAATAATGCCAATAATAATCATAACTTAAAAAGATAAATAGATTTTATATGAATTAAAGAAAAATTCTTAAATATCATACAAGTCTTTAAATTTTTCAAGAATTAATCCACCAGTTGCACGATGAGGATGTTTTGGTAAACGTATTGGATAAGAACCTGTTGTTTCAGTAGAGTCACTACTGCCAATTGCTTCATTTTCTGGTCGATTACTCGCTACTACCGTTTTTTCATTATCTTTTGGTTTCTTATCGTCAGGCATGAGTACAGGATATTCAATTGAATCCTTCAAAAATAAGCTTTTTTTTCGTTATTGACTAAATCGATCTCACGATATGTAGAAAGACCTTTGACCAATCATAGTCACATGTCGTTTCGATAGAGGCGCCACATAATTAATAAAAAATAAAATATAAAAACTCATATATTCTTTATTCGTTACGATGTTTACAAGAACCTTTTCGTTATCTCATCTTTTTGCTCGTCATACACATTTAATAAAACGACCTATCATTGCGACAATGGCAACTTCTTCTATTGAAGAGTCTTCTAAAACGAAAACACCTATTGAGAAACGTGATGATTTATTAGCAAAACGTTTCGTTGGTTTAGAGAAAAATATTTGGTAAAATCTTAAATATTATTGTTCAATTTAGTTTTGTATAGTAATGGTTTTGTTTTTCCTTAGGATTGAATTCAGTGCATTAGCTGTGGAACATAAAGCTGTAAATGTAGGTCAAGGTTTTATCGATTATGAACCACCACAGTATCTTATCAATTTTTATAAAGAAGCCCTTAATGATAATAATATACTTTTACATCAGTATACACGTGGATTTGTATGTTTAATTCATATTTGTTCTAATTATAAGAATTATATAAGTTCTTTTTGAAAAAAAATAGGGTCATCGACGATTAGTTGAAGCTATTTCAAATGTTTATTCATCATATTTCGATCGAAAAATTGATCCATTGAATCAAATTCTAGTTACTGGTGGTGCGTATCCATCACTTTTTAATTCTTTTCATGGTTTTCTCAATCCCGGTGATGAAGTAAACTATTTTTTCTTTTTATTACGATTTTAATATATTATTATTTATAGGCTATTTTAATCGAACCATTTTTTGATTGTTACGAACCGATGGTTCGATCAGCTGGCGGTATTCCACGATGTATAGCACTTAAACCAGTAACTAATCTGACTTAGTTTTTTTAATGATATTCTTAATTGTGTATATAGAAACCAGAATCAACTAAAGGTGATATTTCATCAAGTGCAGATTGGATTCTTGATAAAAATGAATTAGAATCAATGTTTAATTCACGTACTCGTTTGATCATTGTTAATACGCCAAATAATCCTATTGGAAAAGTATGTATTATATATTTCAATCTCGAATAAAACTAATTTCTATTGAAAAAAAAAAAGGTTTTTACACGTGAAGAACTTGAACATATTGCAATTTTATGTCAAAAACATGATGTTATTTGTATATCTGATGAAGTCTATGAATGGATTACATATGATGAAAATAAAAAACATATACGCATGGCAACATTACCTAATATGTGGGAACGAACATTAACAATAGGAAGTGCAGGAAAAACATTTTCATCAACTGGTTTAAAACTAGGTTGGACCATTGGACCAGAACATCTTCTTCGATCATGTCAAATTGTTCACCAAGTAATTCCATATATATATATATCTACATATGATTGATATTAACAAATCTCGTATAGGATTGCGTATATACATGTCCAACATTGTCACAAGAAGTTGTTGCACGTTGTTTTGAATATGAATTAAAACGTTTAAATTCTCCTGAATGTTATTTTAATTCAATATCATCAGAATTTCTTGGCAAACGTGATAAACTTGTTGAAGTTCTTAAAGAATGTGGAATGAAACCAGTGGTACCTGATGGAGGATATTTTGTTCTTGCTGATTTTAGTCAAATCGGTTTGTTGAAAAATATTTATGAAAAAAAAGCTAACTTTTGTTTTTTTGAAATAGCCGGTGATAAATTTCAATCAGATATTCATGATATGAAAGATTTTAAATTTGTTCGATATTTAACAAAAGAAAAAGTAAAATAAATATTAATAGAAATTAAATGAAAAATATTATATATTTTATTTTAGCAACTTGCAACTATTCCTGCAACTGGCTTTTATACATCCGAACATCGTCATTTAGCTGACAATTATATTCGATTTTGTTTTGCTAAAGTAAGTTTTAATTAAAAAAATCAATTTACTATTATGAAATATTTCTTGTAGAAAGATGAAACACTTGATAAAGCAATTGAAATTCTTCGAAAACTTAAAAAGAATTAAAACTTTATTAACCATTTGATACAAAAATAAATAAACGAGATTAATTTTTTTTTAATTTTTATTTCACATAAATCATATCACTAATATGCTATATCAGAATATAATTCGGCACTATAATATTGCTTTTATAGTTTATTTTCCATAAAATTTTACTGTTGAATTTACATACATATTATTTTCATTTTTATGATATCTGTTACCAAACGGAAATGTGAAGCATCATTTAATATGGATGTGAGTGTTTGTTCTCGAATAGATCTTATGTTACTAGCAGAGGTGCAGAATCTTCCTTTTGCGCCCCCGGCCGGGGGGGGGGAAATTTTTTGAAAATTGCTATACTGGGGGAAATTTTTGAAAATTATTATACTAGGGAAATTTTTGAAAATTATTGTGCTAGGGAAATTTTGGAGAAAAGTATTAAGAAAGGAAATCTTATTCTCCTCATAATTAACGATAGAATATAAATCATTCTTTTGGATGAAGAAGAAGAAGGAGAATTTCTACAGAGGGAAAATAATGAACCCGACGGAATAACACTAAAATCAACACATTTATCCTTGAACTACAATGATCTACTTCGTGGAGAATTCCAAGGGAGACCAATAATGCGTAAAGCTGTTGAACACGATTTAGATGATCCTACATTCTACTTGAGTGAGAAATTAATTGATTTTTGCCAAGCATTATGTACTTCAATCGACACTCGATTCAAAGAAGCTCCTGCTATATTCGAAACAATGGGAAATTGCCTTGACGTGGCAGCACTGTATCAACAAGTCGTTTTAGACAAACAAGAGCATGCGCTTCAGTATGGACAGTCATCGTTTCAAACTCTACTTGAGTTTACCAAGAACAACACCAAACATATCAAAATCGACAATATTTTACTCAATGGTCAATATCTAGAGTGGAAGGAACGATGTTTGAAAGAATTGAAAGACAAAGAGAATTGGAATGTTTGGACAAAAGATGATAGAATTGCAACGACAAAGGTGATGAAATCTTTCTTCACGAACAAAGATCTGGCCAATGGTCTCGAACAGTTTCTACATTTCTATTCTCTGATGGTTGTCAAAATCAGATGCGAAGCTGTCTGCGAGAGTGCTGCTTCAATCTTAAAGCAACACATTCATAGCAATCGAGTTCTGGATCACGAATCTTTAGATGAAGAAGTGATGTTACATTGGAATGCACCACCGCTTCATCTAGCAGATCCATTCATCAAGTCCTCACTAGACAACTACTTCTTTCAATTAAAAGATAAAAACTGGATTTTCTACAAAAAAAACAGACCGGCTATTCAAATTAGTTTCGGCTGGTTCGATTGTTTTGAACCGCCTGAGGAAAGAACAAGTAGAAAGAATTCCTATGTTGTACGAATAATAACGAACAGAACAAAATGTTGCCATGTTTTTTTATTTTTTTTTTGTGAAATAAAGTTAGTCGGTGAGCGATGAAGATAAAACATCTTGGGGAAATTTTCAGAAAAAAATTTTCCGGGGGGGGAAATTTTTTATTTTTTGGAAGGTTCTGCACCTCTGGTTACTAGTACGTGCCACTTGATAGTCTTTATTGTTATTACCTGGACAAGAGACTCTTTATCAAAACGAACTTCAACTAACGCACTTAACACATGTTATTCTTAACATGTCCAAGACCTAGAATAAACTCCTAGCTAATAATTGCACTTTACGGGTTTTTTCGGTTGTATAAAATGATTATTTGATTTTTTTTATCAAACTACTCTTGATTGGAACGCTAAATTTAGTCCAAAATATAGTTGTACTTTCTGCCGCTATTTGCAAAATTTCTAACCATTATAAATAAAATTTTCACATATTACTTTCAACTAATTGACCAAAATAAAAGCTTATTTATTAAAAATAAATGAACTAAATGATATCGAATTCGAAACTAATAAATCGAAAATGTTTCCAAATAGTGATATGCTATTTTTAGCATCGATGTCATTTCGAAGAGCAAAAGTTTTTGGTTGTTCTTCATTTTGCTGTCACTACTATTAATCATTGAAAACTGTTTCTTTGTTCTTAATAACAGTGACTTCTGTTTCTTGAAACGTTCTGGAGAACATGACCTTTCGTGTATCACTGATTAATAATATTTAAAAAAAACGGTTGTAACATATTCGTTTTCAAGTTCATTCTAAACCACTTGACAATTGTAATTATATAGCATATCGATTATTAGAAGATGTTCATGCATTTGTAATCATCAATACAAATCAAGGATAATCATCTATTGTTAAGCTAGCGATATCAATTCTTGCAAAAATAGAGTTTGGCTCTGAGAACTGTATGATATGATCTGAGAAAGTGATTTTAAAGATAATCTGTTTATTTATTACTCGTTAGAATGATCCAAACTATGTATTATTTTATTGTTCTCTCTCAGCTTTTTTTTGTTTTCCAACACGTATACGTGCGGGTAAAGTAGAATGACGTAAGTGATTGATTCGAAAACAAGAGATAATGCTATTGTTTCGATGTGTTGCATCTGATTATTAGTAACTAAATATTCTTATTCACTACTCTTCAATAAAAATAATTTCCAAATGATCACTTTCTTTCGAAATATAAACTGTCATTATTAACCGACCTCCTCGCTTCTAAACTTGATGACTTAATGCATGAATGATTCCTATGGTGCAATCACACACCTGAACATTGTCTTAATACAAACAACCAGATAATAGTATAATATTCTTTTTTAAGTTAAAATAAAAATTTTTTTCGTTTTCTTTTCTTTTATTTCATGTGAATTACTTTCATCTATACAATGTAGGCAGTAGTAACAAAAAAAACTGTATGAAGCAATAACAAAAAAAATAAGAGGTCGCAATAACAAATAGAGAAAAATATATATGAGTTTCTTCATAAATATTTACATGTACATTTTAAATTAAGTATTATTATAAATGTTTATCAGGTGACTTGTCCGAAATATCACTGCCACTTAAGTTTTTTTTCTCGTATTCTAATTGGCTCTCTAATAAAGTAATTTTTGCACTTTGTTTTAGAACCAGTTCCTGTAATTCATGAACTAGTTTATTAATATTCGTTAAATCAGCATTTAATTGTTGAATTGTACTAGTTTGATTGTTTAATTGTTCTTGTAGCTGTTGATTTGTTTTGTGGATTGGATCGGTTACGTTATTCTAAAATAATAAGAATAATTATTTAAAAAAGATTCAATCATTTATAATTAGCTAACTTACTTCTTTGTTGCGTTCGAGTGGTTTTTTTATCTTTTTGACTATTTCACTCATGAATTTCTTGAAAATGAAAGAATTGAATTTTAGAAATTGAACGAATTAAATGCTAGAAATTGGCTTCTCAATATACTCTAGAATAAAACATATGTTATAACATTTAAAATCATTACCTTTCTATAACACATTTTATTTTAAATTAGGATATAGAATAAATTAAAGGTTGTCTTATTTATATACAAGAAAAGACAAAGACATTCATTATGTTCCGTTGCTTAACCAATTACATAATTAAGGCGACTGACTGTACGAAGTGGAGCAGCCGACTTATTAAGGCGGCTGACTGCACGTATGTGCAGCCAGTCGACTTATTGCTTTTGATATTCTTCTTCTTCTTCTTCTTCTTCTTGTTCTCGACAGATGAGTCACGATTCAATTCTGCCACTCGTTCTTAGCACCTGAGCAACATTTTCAATCGGAAAAAAGCTTGTCATATTCGTGAGAACGTGCTGAGTGCACATCTGAAAACCGTTTTTTGAAATTCGGTTCCGTGCGGGAGATACATAGTTTCAAAAAAAATTAATTAACATATGGTGATTTCCTTATACGGCTATCTATGACTCAGTATTATATGACCATTGATATATAAGATACTATATGCATATACATTTTAATTATCGTTTTTTTGTGACTTAAATTCATCATGATAGAGTCTAGTCTATGAAAAGTAATTATTCGATGACTTGTTTATCTGAGTTTAATTAATCGATTTTGAGAATAAAATAAAATAAAACTTTAAATGGTTCAACTTTCCGCGTTTATTAGAGTTGTTAGACTTCTGCAGTCAGCCGCCTTTCTCCTACTTGAACTTGCTTCAAGTGGAGCTCTAGTTGCTTTTGATTTTCTTCTTTTTCTCGACAGACGAATCATGATTCAAATCAGCCACTATTTCTTAATACCTGAACATCGTTTTTAATCAAAAAAAAGATTGTCATGTTTGGAAGAACGTGCCGAGTGCATATCTGAAATTCGTGTTTGGAAATTCGGTTTCGTGCGGGAGATACATAATTTAAAAAAATTAATTAACACATAGTGATTTCCTTATATACTTAACTGTGACTCAGTATTGTGCGACCATTGATACTATATGCATATACATTTTAGTTATCGTTTTTTACGACTTAAATCCATATTGATAGAGTCTACCCTATGAAAGGTAATTAATTGATGGCTTGAGGGTGTGAATGTAGATGTCGATACTTCAAAATAAAGGCATGACACCCACACCCTTACCTCAAGAACAAATTCGACAATTACAAAATGATTTAAATACACATACTGCTCTTAATGAAGAATTACGTAAACAATTAACCCAGGTCAATGATTCTCGAAGCATTATTCTTGCGAATTGCTGCCGAAAACCTTCAGGAAACTAACCGATACCGACAGAAACTTTGTCGGAAACTTCGAAGATTTCGACCCTGAAATCGATTCCAGGTGGAACCGAACGAATCCGATGATTGGACCTGTTCAACGGGAATACTGTTTCCATGAAACCTGCAGAATACCACAGAACCGGCCGTTTCCGTGCCGGATCGTTCGACTTGGATTTATAAAGAAAGTTATGAGTAATACGAGAAATAAGCCTAAACCATTAGAATTTGGAAAAGAAGTAAGTTAGCTAATTATGAATCATTGAATTTAAATAAGTAATTATTCTTGTTATTTTAGAATAACGAATTACCCCACAAAACAAAATAACAACTGCAACAAGATTTAAACAATCAAACCGGTATAAACGATGGATTAAGTACAGAATTAAATAATTTACATAAATTAATTGATGAATTGCGTGATATTGTCCTTAAACAAAATTCAAAAATAATGATATTAGAAAATCAGTTAGAATATGAAAAGAAACCCAGGTCGATGATTCCTGAAGCAGTATTCTAGCGAATTTCTGACAAAAACTCCTCGTTCTCGGTAGAACCCCTTCCGAAAAATGCCAAGAATTCGATCTTCGAATCGGTTCCTGGCGGAAAAGAACGGATCCGTTCAACAGGAACACTATTTCCATGAAACCTCTGAAATACCACGGAACCGGCCGTTTCCGTGTTGGATTGTTCCACCTGGGCTGAACTGGATCATGAAAAAAAGAAAAACATTACTAGAAGTGACGAATCAGAATCATCACCAATTAAACAGTTATAAATTTAGCGAATTAAAATTTTATGTAAATATTTTTCTCTTTTTGTAACTGCTGTCTCTTATTTATTTTTTTTGTTATTGCTGCCTACAGTTTATTCTTTTTTGTTTAAGATACCATACATGTATAGAGTAAAAGTTGTTTAAATAAAAGAAAAGGAAAAGAAAACTTTTATTTTGAACTTAGAAAAAAAATTATACTATTATCTGGTTGTTTGTATTAAGACAATGTTTAAGTGTGTGATTGCACTATAGAAATCATTCATGCATTAAGTCATCATGTTGAGAAGAGAAGAGATCGACTAATAATGACAATTTATAATTCCAAAGAAAGTAACAATTGCTGAAAGATGAAGTGATCATTTGGAAATTATTTTTATTAGAGAGCAGTGAATAAGAATATTTAGTTACTGATGATCTGGTACAACACATCGAAACAATAACCTTAGCTCTTGTTTTCGAATCAGTCGCTTACTTCATTCCACTTTACCCACAAATATAAGTATTAGAAAACTAACAAAAAGCTAAGAGAGAACAATAAAATAATACATAGTTTGGATCATTCTAACGAGTAATAAACAAACAGTTTATCTTTAAAATCACTTTTCCAAATCATACGATACAGTTTTCAGAGGTAAGCTCTATTTTTGCAAAGATTCATATTGCTAATTTAACAATAGATGGTTTTCATTGATTTGTACTAATGATTACAAATAATGCATAACCATCTTCTAATAATCAATATACTATATAAGTACAACTGTTAAGTGGCTTACAATGAACTTGAAAACGAAAATGTTGCATTTTTTAATAACATCATTTCCATGTGCCATATCGTAAAAAGAAAGGGTCATAGAAGAAACGATAAATACGAAAAATGCTATGCGATATTATAGTTAACTATATAATATCATAATTTTTTTGTCAGCTGCTCTAAGAAAATGAAGAAAGTACGTTTCGATAGAAACATAATCTTTATTCTTTATTATAAAGTAAAATAAAAATAAAAAACACCTGTAATCAAGATGAACATAACATCGATTGTTTAACATATGATCAATGTTGATAAACTCACACAGCTTTGCAAGGTGAATCAGAGTACAATTCATCGATGAATGCAAGGATTTAATCAGAGCAACTCTGTAGATGCTTGCAAGTCACCTAGTAGAAGATTAACCAATTTGTTTAAAAAGCGAATTGGTAGTCAAAGTACAAAAACCACAAGATCATCATAAGTTACTCCCAAAAAAGATGATGAAATAATCTGGGCCATCAGTAAATTAGAAGCAGACAAGAGTAATAGCATACATACTAGAGAAAAATATCCTGTTTTCGTAATAATTCCTATTGGTACTAGTTAGAACAGACTTACTGTTCCATTTCTTTTTATCAAATACAAAGTAACCAACTATTCGGCATGGAACAATGTTAAAGAGTATACAACAATTTATAACAAATGTTATATTCAAGATACTTTATTTCGTTGAAAAGAAAGAAAAGATAAATTAACTATTAAAAAAATTAGAATGCATAGGTATTTTTTTGGTATGCTGTTCGACAAACAGGACAATTAGGAATTGGATCACAACAGTATCCTTCAAACATCTGTAAACATGTTGCATGAAATACATGTGTACAACTAAGTAATACTAATGGTCTTTTAGGTTGCTGTTGTTGTTGTTGTTCTTGTTTTTTAACTATTTGTTTTTGTTCGATTAGTTTTGATTGTGGAAATAATTTTTCTAATTTATTTTTAGTTGTTTTAGTTGGTTTTTTAATAATTGTTTCAATAATAATTGGTTGTAATGCACATTTACAAATTGAACATTCAAGTTCATTACGTTGTTTTGCACGTTCTTTGATTTCTTTCCATTCATCTTCATCAATTGTACGAATTCGTGCATCAAATGCTTGACGAATAGCTCGTGCTTTTTCAACATTTCGATCAATTTCATTAAATAAATCATTTAAATCAAAATCACATGATGCTATTATACGATCAGTTATTTCAGATAATTTTTCTTGATAAAATTTTCGACGTAATCTTGTATCATCTGGTATATGAGACATATCAAGACGAAAATTTTTATACCACTGTCGAACAATATAACCACGCCATGCAGCTTGAATACGAGCTGCACATTTGGCGCGATGAATTTTTGCGCCTTCATGTATAATACGTTTTTCATATTGTGAACGACGACATAGAGGACATGTACGAAGATCGGTACCATTAGCATTATTAGAAACAAATTTTTCAAATGTTATTAAACAAGCTCGATGAAAAACATGTGAACATGAAAGAAGTACCTGTTGTCCAAGACCAAAATCTTCTTGACATATTGGACATGGACAATTAGAATCTTGACGATCATTTGAACGTTGTTTAACTTCATTCCATGCTGCTTCAGTTAAATGATTATCTGCTTTGTTAGTTGTTTGAATAAGTCCAATACGTTCAGCTAAAGTTTCTCGTTGTCGATGAGAAATCATTGATGTGTGAGGATCTTGAAGAACATATTCACGTTCTTCATTAGTTACTGGTTTTATTATTGGTAAAGTTTGTGGAGATGATAATGATTGCGTTGCATTTTTCTTTTTTAAACCGGTATCGATGACTGAATGAACTCGATGTTTTTGAATAGGACGAAGACGAATTTGATTCTGATTTGAAAAACGACCAGGCATACTAAGATCAAGAGTTCGTGCACGATAATCTTGTATCGCACTACTCATTAATGCTGAACTGTAATTAACATTATCAGATGATGATTGTGTTGCAGCTTTCTTTTTTGAATCATTATCCATGACTGAATGAACTTGATGGTTTTGAATTGAACGATGACGATCAAGAGTCTGTGCACGATAATCTTGCATTGTACTATTCATTAATACTGAACTGTAATTAATATTATCTCCAATATCTAGAATAAAATAATAGATAGAAATGTAATTCATGATCAAATGTAAACATATTTATTTACTTGTTCTTTTATTCGTCATTGTAATCTTTCAGTAATGGCTGATATACCTATTGAAGAATTCTTCTCATTTATTTCTTTTTTTTTCTTCTTCTTTTACGTCGTTCTTCGTTAGTAACCATTGAAGAGAACAGAAGAAAGAACTCGACAACAACGATTATATTTTAAAGAAAAAGTATTTAAAAAAAAAAGAAGCAAAAAAAAATCGATTTTGATTCATCATTTTTGTAATGTTGTGATTGTAAATAATGACAAAAATCTGATTGCATTGGTTGTTGGGTCAATAGATAGTTTTTTTATTCTGATAATTACATTATTACATAGTACATATTTACTTGTAATGGAGGATGGATCTTGTTAAAATGAACTAGTCTATAAAAGTAATGATAGACATACATTTTGTCTTCATTTTTAAATCATACTATTGACAATGATAAAATCTATTATATTGATCATTGGAATATTGATTCTTTTTATTACAATCGATCATTGCCATGCATGGAACGATACAGGTTATAATCTTTCTTTTTTGCAATTTATCTTTTTCGAATAAATTATTATCTATTCAATAGATTCAACTGAAAATGCAACTCTAATAATTCCACCAAAACCATTTGTTTATTATGGACGTTATCATCAACGACGTGTTCGTCGTGAATATTCATATAATGATAATAATATAACATCGGATCATGAAACAATGGCAACCATTCTTTCAATTCTTCCACTCGATCGTATAGGTGCTATTATTGGTCAAATTATAGCAACAGGTGTTAAAGAAATGCTAAATCCAAATATTGGCAAAAAAATTGTTAATGTTCTTGAAAATCAAGCACCATCATTAGTAACATCATTGTTTACTAATCTTTACAGTACTTTACGTGCTCCAGTACGACCAGTAACAAGTAATACTACAATAATAATCAATAGGAATGCTAGTAAACAATTGCGTAATAGTTCAACATCATCATTAATTAATACAATGAGACGTATGGGAACCAAGTAAAATATTTTCATATCTATCATACATATGTTTTCTTTTCTTCTGCATAATATTAACTAAATATATTATTTATAAAAAATGTTAAAATATAATTTTGCTAATGAATACTATGCCACATTTAAATATAAATCGAATAGTAATAAAAATCAAATAATTTCAAAAATAACTTATGAAGTGTTTATTTTTAAGAATGAATTCATCTAGGTATTTTTTATTAGCATACTTATTTTAAATTTACTTGTATTACTTAGTGCATCATTAGTATCTTATATGTCTTTTCTTTTTATTCACTGTCTTTATATCTTATTTATATAAAAGAAAACATATCATTTGCATTCTAATACATATAAAGAAAACATGTCAGGCTCGAAGATTATTTCTGCTTTATTATTATTATTATTATTATTTTCTTTATGCAAACATCGACCTATATACTTCTGAATCATCATCATTCTTTGAAGAAGAAGATGATGAATGCATCGACATTCTTGTGTTTATATCCGATTGGCTAATATTTGACGTACACCAGAAGAGATCTGGTATTGAACTGGTTTTTTTTTCTTCCATTCTTTGAAATAGTGTGTTCGTTGAGACATGCACATTCTACGGCTCTTTTCTTAGTATATGTAATTTGATAGAAATCATATTTCATATTGACAAAAAAAGCAATCTTCTAATTCAAACTGATTTTGATTCTTAAAAAAACAATAAATATTTTTTGAGGCAAGTATATTATCAACATTGGAATATACGATTCATCATAACCGGATATATAAAAATTTGAATATTCATTTTGTTTTTTTTTCTTTTGCTCTGATATGATAGTTGATTATTTTTATTTCAACAAAATTACATATCCAAAGAATAGTTAGATAGAAAAAAGTCAATCAAGTTTAATGATGTACTAAATATAAATCAAATTTTGAGAGTTAATAGTTGTTAAAATAGATAATATAATCATAAAGGAAAAAAGAATCATTTTCTTGTTCAGTATGATAGAGAAAAGATTGCTTTCCAACTTTATCTCTTTTTCTTTTCTTTTCCGTTAGCTGAAGAAAACAGCATTAAGTTTATTTGCTTACACTGCCGCTATTGAATCGCCAGTATATAGTCGTTGCCCTCGTCGTCGATGTCGTTTTCTCTTCTTTCTCTCAAGGACAGAAAGAGTCTATTGTTTCGGTTTGTATAGTGGCGCGTAGTGTACACGCATATGCAATGGCCTCTATTTACGACGGTATAATGCGGCGGCGCCGTCGTCGTTGTCGACTAGTGCAAAAGAAAGATGGATTGGTGGAAAAAGATGATGAAGAGAATGAAGCTTCTTTCTTCTTTCTCTCTCATTATGCTATATGTCTATGTCTATATGTGCCAAAGAGCGACAACAGTGAAAGGACACATATATAGCTCTATGTGAAAGCAGCGAGCAAAACGAAGATAGACGACGACGTACGCGCACTACTACTCGGCGATCGCTGCAAGCAAAAAGAAGAGAGAAGGAACGAGAGAAAGACGAAAGAGAACAAGAAGAAGAAGAAGAAATAGTTGCTTGTCATATTCTCTCTCTCTTTCTGTGTTGGCCCTATGTTGATTTGATTCCTCCCTTCTCTCTTCCATCTATTCTCGCATTCACTACTACTGTGTTCCTATCAACCAACTAAACTTAATCAATGGCCGATTCAACTGACGCATTGTCTTCGCCGACAGCTACTGCCACCAAGGGTATGTGAACGGACTTTCATTTTTGTTCCTAAAGTATTCTAAACTAACTATTAAATTTTTTTCTAGGTACTAAACGTGAAGCTGAATTGGATGATGTTAGTCCAACTAAATTAAAAGCATTGAAAGCAACAAAAAATGGTACTAATGGTGATGCACCAACGGTAGTTGATGATGATTCATCTAATAATCATAAAAATGGAAACTATCATGATGATGATGATGAAGATGATGATGATGTATGTCAAATAAAAAATCTAATAGAAATAAAAGTTAAAATTTTATTTGAATTTTTTCAGGTAGTTGCTGGAGATCGAGAAGCAGGCGATTATGACGAAGAAGATGGTTCAGAAGATGATTATGATGAAGACGAGGGAGAAAATGGTGAAGATGATGAAGGTAGTTAAAGAAAAAAAAACAAAGAAATAAAATTTATATATAAAAAAAATTTGCTTTTCTTTATAGGAGATTCAAAAGCATCTGCTGGTAAATCGAATTCTCGAAAAGCAGCCGCTGGTGCATCGGCTGATAGCGGTGCCGATGAAAGTGGAGATGATGACGATGATGATGAACAAGAATAATCTTCAGATATATATATCTATTCTATATACATGTTTTTTTTTGTCATGATTAAAAAAAGAAAATCCAGCATAAACTTCTGTTTTTCTTCTGTTCATCAAACCAGACACACATAAAAAAATTTCTAGAGAACTCTGTTTACTTTTTTTTTTCTGTTGTTCTTCTTGTTGTTCTTATTATGCCTATTTCTTGATGTTGTTGTATATTACTTCTTGTGTGCCGGTTTCTTGGTCATATACGTGTGTACTTTTTTTTCTTTTTGTTCTGTTTGCGATTATTTCGCAAAAAATCATTCATTGAAGAATATAGAAAAACAAACAACATAGAATAATCATATGTATATGTATATATATACAGAATTAAATATCTGAACATTTTATATGAGATAGCAAAAAGGAACAAGAAAAAAAACAAAAATAATGTCTTTGAACAAGATTTTTAATTCACATGCCATGAATGATAAATGATTGTATTTTGTTAATGATCAACCTAGAGGAAGAAAAAAAAAATAACATTAGAGAGAGATTTATATGTTGAAAAATCTATCGACAGATGTCACTAGAAGTAAAATGGAAAAAGATGAGATTTTTCCAAGGAAAAAAGAAAGTAAATCGATATGTTTAGTTAAGAAAAATATTGTTTTTGTTTTGATAATGGAAAAAGATGAATTTTAAAAATTGAAATAAAATATGTTCTTGAAAGAGTTTTCAGTCTAAGTTGAAAGCGTATATTATACGCAAATTATCATCACAAATCCAAATCTGAAAAGCATAAATAGCGACTCAACAGGAACAAAAAAAGATCATCACACATGACATTTGATTATTATATATAGTGTGTTTTAGTATAATCATGAAAAGAAAAAGAAATATGAATTTTATTCACTTCTAAAATCTTGAACTATGTAACGTTTAACCAGTAATTTTTCCATTTGAAAATCTTCAAATTATATCCAAAAAAACGTTTTCATTGTCAAAATTCTCTCATTATCCATATTGTGTTTTTTTTGTCATCTATTGTAGAAAAAATCACCTATCCTAGATGAAAGTTGGTTGTCATAGACATATTTAGATATATATATATATATAATTCCGTCGTATTTGTGTGATGATCTGATTCATTCAATGTTGGAAGCTATTTGAAAAGACAAAGGAAAAGCACAGAAAAAAAAGAAGAAAAGACAAAAAAAGAAGATAGAGACAAAGACATAAACGCATTGACATCAACACACTTTCACATACACAATTTCTCGTTTTTTTTTTATTCAAATTGACAGAAACGAACGGTAATGGATATCGTCGATATGAAATCAAATATTTCTTGACTTGTTTTGTTTGTAAAAAACATATAGATATATATATATGTAATATAGTTGACAAAAGAAAAAGACGAACGGTATCAATAAATAGATAATTGAAGTTTGAAATAAATGTTCCAAATTTTATTTTGATTTATTATTATTATTATTATTATTATTAATAATACTGCTTCCATTTTTTGCTGATAATGTTGTTGAACCTACCATTTCAGTTGATTGATGATAAGAACTATTATTATCTATTTGTTGTTGTTGTTGTTTTGAACTAAAAATTAATAAAACGAAATATTATTAGTGTCGTAGAATTTTTTTATATAATTTACCTTTCAGTATTAATATTTGTTGAATCATCGGGACTATCCATTTGCATGTCTAGAGAACAGAACAAAAAAAAACATTTTTTTTTATCTTTCTTCATCATTTTTAAATAAAATGATTTAGAGGAAATAACGGAAGTTAATTCTTATCTAATCAAAGTAAATATGAAAAAACTAAAATATGATTCTTATCAATCGCGGAAAGATGAAAATTAAATTTGGCCATATTTTACCAGCTCCTTGATTATATCGTTGATATTCAATTATTTCACGTTCTTTAAAATGTGCTTGAATTTCATTTTCACTCCAACCACGACGTGCTAATCGTCTATGTTCTTTACTCCACATTTCATGACAATCTTGTGCAATTGGTAATCTAAATAAAAATAATTAAATAAAAAAATAAAAATAAAAACTAAAAAAATTTACTGTATGGGTTGTATTGTTTCTTCACTGATATCTTTAAGCCAATTTGAAAGAAGAGCATCACTTGCACTTATTCGTTTAGCTGGATCTAATTCAAGCATACGATCAAATAAATCCAAAGCAGGTTCAGGAATACTAGAAATTATACGAGAAGAATTAAATTTCAAAAAATAAAAATAAATTATTTTTTTACTATTGATAATCTTCTCTTAATTTTCTTCGATAAGTTTTTTTCTGTTTTAATGTTGCAAAAAGTGGCAAATGAATAACTTCTGGCCAAACAGCTGGTGTTGGTGAGCCACATAAACGTGAAATTAATTCTAATTGTTCATCTTCACGTTGTCCTTGAAATAAAGGTTTACGAGTAAATAATTCACCAAAAATACAACTAGAAAAAAAAATCAATTTATTCATCAATGCAATCTTTTATTTCTATACATACCCACAACTCCATATATCAATAGATGGTCCGTATCTTTCTTCACCAAGTAATAATTCTGGTGGTCTATACCATAAAGTAATAACTTTATTTGTATATGGTCGATCTTTATCTTCTGCATTATATAAACGTGCAAGACCAAAATCAGCTAATTTGATTTTTCCATTATTATTTAATAAAATATTTGAACATTTTATATCACGATGTAAAAATTTTCTTTGATGACAAAAAGCTAAACCGGACATAAGTTGAAAAACAAATGCTCGTATATGTTCAATATCAAGTTCAATTAATCCGGAATCAAGTAAACCAAATAAATCATGATCACAATATTCAAAAACTAAATAAAATGATGTATCATTTTTAATATCAACTATATTTCGTGCATCCATAATAATTTCTTTTAAATTAACTATATTTGGATGAGTTAATTGACGAAGAATTTGTATTTCACGTATAGCTGTTATTGGAAAACCTTCTTTTTCATTTTCTAATCGAACTTTTTTTAATGCACATAAATCACCTAAATATTTATTTCAAAAAAAATTCAATTTTTTTTCTTAATGTGAACAAACCGGTTGTTTTTTCACGTGCTTTAAATACTTCACCATATGTTCCTTCACCTATTTTTGCTAAAATTTCATAGACTTCAACAGTTCGTTCACCCCATTGATTTTTTACCATCTCCTCACGACGTTGAAGAATTCTTAAAAAAGAAATATAAATAAACTTTTTATCAATAGAAATTTCTTTGTTTTGTTTTACAATGGTCGACGCATAGGTTTATCAGATGCATTTGGAGAAGTATTTACTGGACTTGAAGGTGAAAGAGGATCTTGTTTATAATCTGGTGGCATTGGTAATGATCGTATTAAATGTGTTTGACCACTTGATTGTGGTACATTGGATGATCGACGACGTGAATTACTATTTTAATATTAATATGTAATTAAAATTGTCTTTTTTTTATTATTCGATTGAAAACTTACTCAGAACGATTTATATTAGAAGTTATATCATTCGAGTTGATGTTTGTCTAAATATAAAATCATTTATTCAAGTTTCTATCTCTTGTTTTTTTTTTCTATTATACTTACATCTATATCATTCTTTGATTCTTGTTCATTTTGTGTTTGAATATTAGTTGTTACTGTTTTTTTTTTATCTATTTTTGGTCTTAATTTATCAAGTTCTGATGCAAGTGTTCCTTTTGTTGATCGTTGATATTGATTATTATTATCATTTTCATTTAATGATGAATGTTCACTTGAATGGGTTGATGATGATGAAGATTTTCGATGATATTTTGATTTTCTACGATGATGATAATGATGTGAAGAAGAAGAAGAAGAATAAAGTGGCACAGGATATGATGATGATGATGGACTTGGTCGACGTCTTTTTGATGAATAATTACTGTTATCTGTATGATGTTTTCGTTTTTTATGTTTCATATCAAAATTTGTGTCATTTAAAGTTGTTTCATTAGTTGTATCACGGGAATGCACATGATGATAAGATGGTTGAGAATTACGTGATGATCGACTTGTTGTATCATGTCGTGAACGATGAGAATTTCGACTACTAAGAAGAAGAAAAAAACAATTAAAGAAATTTCTTTAAACAAAATATCTACTTATGTTGATTAGATTCATTATTAATATCACTAGATGATGAACGACGTGTTCGAGACTTTCGTTCAGATGATCGTTGTCGACTGTGTTTATGTTTTTTTTTTAATGTTGACGATCGATTATGTTTTTCTGTATTTATTGTATTAGTTTCTGGTGATGATGATTCTGATGATACAGATTCAAGAAGGGATTGATGATGATGAGAATATGATGTATCACGTGAACTTGTTCGATGATTATTATTATGTGTATAATAATGAGAATTTGTTGAAGACGACATGAAATTTTTATTTAAACAAATCGTCATACGATATCAAAAGATATATATTCTTATATATTTGTTAATCTATATGAATAGATTCTAAGTAGAAAAATTTCATTGTTTTTCAAAAAACAATATTAAAATTAATTAACTTACAAGGAAAACGATTTTGAGGATGTGAATGTAAAAGTTTAATCATAAATTTATATAGTGATACAACATGACAAGAAAACAAATATAGAGAGAGACATAAGCAAAAACAACAGACATATACGAATGAATTAGCTACAAGAGTTAGCCGGTTTAAATATTTTATTGGTTAAATAAAATTTTTTTGACCAATTAGAAAATAACTAGTTCGAATAGCCTTCGAGATTCGTTACATTAAACTTTGAATTTATTACGCTACAATCAATCTATTATTATATAATAATATTCTATTGAAAATAATGTACCTATGAATTAACTTTTAGAAATTTCATTTCTAATAATCACCATATTCTTGTTTTCTTTTTCAATATAAGAAACTAGATGACGCTAGTTATTAGAAACAAAAATTGTGCAAGCTAATGGTAGCATAATTATATAAATTAGCTGAAAAATGTTTTTCAAAACAAGAAAAAAAATTTAGAAATAATTAAATAATTTTTTGTTTAGTTTTGTACTATAAGAATATCAGATCATTGATCGTCTTTTAATATTTATTGTCTATACGACTTTTCGAATACACCATCATTCACGTCCACATGAGTAACTAAATGTCACTTGAATACAATGAGTTTTATATATGAAAGTATAATAAAGGAAAACTAGCTAGAAGAAAGAATATGAATTTATGATGTCGAGATATCATTCATGGATAATTGCTTTTCGTCGGCGCACGTTCAGCACACGTTTGATGACATTTAAAACTAGGAAATTATCAAAAATAATATTTCAGATAGAGCAAGTTAATTTTAAAACTAGACTGATCATATTAAAACATCATCAAAGATACAATGACTATTACCTTTCTATTTAATTTCATATATCACTTAAAAATATTACATACTTGAAAGTTCATAATTTTAGTTTAAGTACAATATTCTTTTGACATTGCCCTGAGAATTCATCTACTGCATTCGTTTCTAATATTTATCATTAATAAAATGAAACCATATATAAAATGCTTCATTTTTAATAAGAATACTATCGAATGAACTATTACAACAAACATTAAATATTTATTTTAAAAATATTAGGAAGACAAAAAATAAACAACAAAATTCATAGATATAATAAAAGAGGAAAACTATTTATTGTGACTACAAGACATAAATTCGATAGATAAAAAACGATTAACATATAGTTTTTTTTGTTGTCTATAGAGTAATACAGATGTACGCATATACGAAAACATTCTCATTAACCAAGAAGACATATTTTATAAATGTCAAATAAACATACAAGTACACAAGAAAAAAAAACTAGACGAATATCTGATCTGATTATAATAAATAAGTAAACAAAACCAGCACCCATTTTATTTCAAACATATATATATGTATATACACAACTGTTCGAAAATAGTCGATCGAAAAAAAAATGAACATGACTAGTTTGTAAATATAGAGAATAGAAATACTAAGGTAAAATTTTATCTACATGAAGATTAAATGAACATTAGAAAATTGTAGTTAAAATTAATACTTATTCTAGGAGAGATTCTTCAGGCTGCTTGACTATAAATTCTTATAGATATAAATAGGATTTTTGAAAATAGATGATTAGATTTTCAGAACATTCTGTATATAATTATTTTCTTCTCGATTTTCATTTTAAGTTTAATGAAAGACAAATGGTATTCTAGAGGATTGATCGATCGATCTACTAAACAGATTGTTCATCATTTAATTTCCGTTCAACATTGATATTTTCTTCATTATCATTTAGTGAACCTGCTTCTACAATAGGTGATGTTGATGATTTACCACATCGACATAATTTACCAAAACTAAAAAATTCAAGATAAAATAAGAATACTAAATTCATAACTTCTAACTTACGGTATATCACCAAATTGATCGATAGGTCCAATAAACGAAAGTAATGGTAAGAAAAACCATGTTGCAAATAACCAACTTATGAACATAATTAACATAAGAAAAAAACCCATTTGAGAAAATGATGTTAATTTGCTTGGTGCCATTGATAATCCTGCAAGAAAAGATGTAAAACCAGCAACAAATACAGCTGAACCAACACGAATAAGACTATTTTTAATTCGACGAAAACGTTGTAAATTTCCATATTGTTGTTTTTTTTCAATAATTTGAAACATATTTTCATTTTCAAGAGATTTTTGTTCATTTAATTTTTTATTATTATTATCATGTGAATTCAATTGATTTAATGATATTTTAATATGTGCTTGATTTTTTTTCCAATCTGCTTTAATATAAGCTACACCATAATGTACAGCTAAACGAAAAACAAAATTATCAAATAGAAATAAAAGAAAAAAAACAAGATTTCTTACTAAAATCTACACTTAAACCAACACTCATTATAATAATTATTGTTTCAAGAATATTTAATTCCCAACCACATAAAACAAATACAGCTACTGTATCAGCTATAATAAATGTAATTGTAGTCATAGCATATATTGTTATTAAAACATTTCCGGATGTTAATAATAGAACTACAAGTGCAAATAACATTGAAAATATGAGTGATGTATAAGTACCACGAATAACTTCACGCATTAAATCATAGAATAAAAATTGAGGTGAAACAAACCAACTAAATAAACAAAAAATAGAATATTATAGAAAGTTAATTATCTTATGTCTCAAAAAAGAAGTTCATAGGATATATGGACATGGTAGATTAGATAATTTTTAAAAGTATATTGTTCGACTGAGTGAATTTAAATAAACACATGTGTATATCTCAAATGAATAGCCTTTACTAGAACTCATTTCTTCTATATTATATATTTGTTTTTACCCATGTTTAACTTGTTTGTAGACATGTTCATTCGATCCACCTTCCAATTTTATTTTTTCTAAACATTTTTCAAAATAATTTTGTAATTTATTATAATAAGCATTTTGAACAGAATATGAATTAAATGTAACATTCATATTAACTGTAAATAAAAATGCTCGTATTTGTTTGGTTATTTTATCAGGTAAAAATCCAATACGAAGATTATCATTTGCATTTGCTGATTGAAATTGATTTGATCCTTTGAATAAACGAAATAAACGTTCCATTGCATCTATTGTTTGATTACGTGTTGATGGGACAAAAAATTCTTTATCATTTGATGATATTAAAGATTTTTTATCGGATGTTGTAAATCCTCGTAATAATTGACCTAAAAAATAAATAAATAAATAAAAATCTCTTCGTATTTCTTCTCTTACCAATTGTTAACCATTGTGAATATGTTTGTTGAACATTAATAAATAAATCACTTCGATTAAGATCTTTTAAAAATGTATCAAACCATCGTAAAACTTTTGGATCATAAAAATCAATATTTTGATTATAAATTAAATTTTGTTTATTTTGATTTATTTTCGAATCATCAGGATAAAATGGATGTACTAAATCCGTATCTTCGATACCAAATATAAATATTAACATTGGATTTGTAACATTATCTTTATCTTCATTAATATATGATAAAAATTGATCACGCATTTGATATTCAAAACGTTCAAATGGATGTGTTAATTGAAAAAATTGATAACGACGAGATTTTGGTGGAGATAATTTTGGATGATAAAAAACAATAATTAAACCAATTATACCACATATAAAAAATATTACGATTAAAATATAACGAAATTTTATTATTAAACGTGGAATATAAACAGTAAATATAACATGACTAAGACGTGTTAATGTTGATAAAGTTTTATCAAAGATTGATGGAAAATGATTAAATAGACCCAAACGTGCTGATAATGGTTCACAAACTTTCTCATAAACAATTACAAATGATACAATCATTGTTATACTCATTAGAAAATTGAATAATATACAAAATCCCTAAAGAAAATAATAAAACAGAATTTAAAATTACTTAGTATTATTCCTAATAGTATTATTAATTTTTAATGTATATTTCAATATACTATAAATCAAGATATGCGATACAAAACTTAATTTTAATTCTAGTCGTGATATACGTAATTATTTTCTTATTGGATCGGAAAAATTGTTAATATTTCATTATAAATCATAATAGAATTCACTAAAAAACACAGGAAATTATTTACAAATTCTATCTTTGTTTTGTATATTTTGTTCTTAGAAACTGAATTGTGTTTTTTCATTTAACACTTTTATTTCTATTTTAGAAAAAAACCACTCTCAAATGAATCCTCAATAGTATTTTCTCATATTACATGTATCTTTTTATAGCACACACTTTGTTTTTTTTACTCTTCTATTCTCTATAAATTAAAAGGAACTCCCATGGTTCCATCTCTCCAAAGAAAGGAGAACCTGCAAAGCAACATCACGCAATGATAAAATATAACCGAAAAGCTCATTAAGTATTGATCTACATATGTAATATAATAATATACTTCAGGATTTAATAATTATCTTACATAAACCTTATGTCTATAATAGATATACAATTATTTACTATAAATAAGAAAAATACTATTCAATGCCAATTCTATTTAAGTGTAAACATACCATAAATAAGCCGAATAATTGTACATAAGCAATACGTGTTATCATATTAGTAAAAAAAGCTGCTGATGTTGTAAAACTTGTAACAAATACACTTGCAGCTGCATGTCTTAAAAGTCCACCCATCATTTGTATCATTTGTTCATCATTCACTTTCATCATTCGTATTAAATCTGGATTTTTAATTCGATCAAAATATTCATCTTCTTCATTATCATCATCATCAATTTCATTTGCATTATGATTATTAGTTTGTTGATTAGAATTTTTATTAAGTAATTTCTTTTGTATAACAGACATTGTATAATCACAATCACGACGATATTGTTGTTCTTGTTGTCTTGTTAATTTACCATAAAATTCAACTGTACGATTTTGTAAACGTGCTTCATTATAAATATCTAATTTTTCGGAATACCATGCATCAAATATAACAAATACATTATCACATGATATACCAATTAAGATAAATGTTGCCATTAAATTAATATACGGAAATAAATCAATACCTAATGCTATTTTATATGTAAAATATGCACAAGCAAATGAGAACATAACACATATATTTGTCATTAAGGCAACTGTTATTGAACGAAGATAAATTATGGTTACCTATAAAGAATATTTATATTTTAATTTATATTTTCAAAGAGAATATTCAATCTATCGTTTGTATCGATAGAAATTTCAAAAGATTTTCATCTATTAAAAAAAGATTCAGAATTTTATCAGAGGTAATTTGTTAAAAATCTAAAAGATTTTTTTTCGACAGAATTATATTTTGAATAGATGAGAATCTTTTTCATTTTCTATTAGTAGAATATCGAGAATGATACATAAATTACTCGATAGTCTTTGATTACGCTTAACTCTTGATATAGGGCTGTGATTTTCACTGTTCAAAACTTACATATAATGAGCAAGTATGCATTTCAATCATGATGTAATTTTCTAACGTTGAAAACCATAGCTCTCCCACGCAAAAATTTAAAAAGGAAAATACCGCGATTTTGAGAAATGCATAAATGGGCTGACTGTCGCGATTTTACCTAAACTTTTTCTGTGGGCTTTCTCTTATTCTTATCAAAAGTTCTTCTCAGTCAAAGATTATCAAGTAACCTATGAACCATTTTGTACTTATTTACGAAACAAGTTGATTATTTATTATTAATCAGTTAATAGTTTAGTTTGATGATAAAAATAGAATTGAACTTACTCCAACAATTAATGAAATAGCTAGAATAACAAAAAACATATCAGCACGAATTTGTTTCATTGCTGTTGATATTCGAATATCTAAAAAGTTTAATCCAGATATTTTTGTTGAACCATCATCAAATTTTTGATTTTGATAAAAATGTCGAATAAATAAATCATATGCAGAATTTGCTGTATGTGTTTCATCACCATTTAAAGATTTTTTCGATTTTTTCGGTTTTAAAAACCACATTGCTGTAAAATATGTTTGATTTGTTGATAAAAATGTTTTATCTAATAAATATTCTAATGTTAAAAATGTAAAATTATAACGAAAACAAGAATCATATTCAAATAATTCAATTGGTTTTTGACGATAACGTTTTAAACCAGCTAAACGTATAAGACCAGTATCATATAATTGATGACAACGTTGTATACGTGATATAAAATATGTTGTATCATTTTCATTAAGTTGTGAACAATCTGTTTTATTTGAAAAATATGCTACCATTTGTGGTAATGTATAATGACATGTTGAATCTAATTGAAATAGTTTCATAAGTTCATTTTGTTTTTTACATAATGATAAAAGATTATCAATTGTTAAAAGATTTTGTGAAGATTTATTTGATGATTCAAAATAAACTTCATAATGACGATCTAATTAAAAGAAAATAGAATTTGAAATTTTTCTAGGCAAAAAAGGAAGTAACGAACTTAAATCAATTGATGTACACATTTGTTCATTAGGTTTATTAATTTGATGTTCAACTATTTTAGAAAATTTTATTAAATCACTTTTATTATTTAATAATTTATAAACTTGTTCATTTGTTAAACATTTATCATCATTATTGGATAAAAACGCACATGAATTAAGATTAGTTTTATAATCTTCAAGAAGAATTGATTCATTTATATTATCTTCATAATCAAGATCATCATCGTCATCATCATCATTATCATTATTATTTGATGATGGTGTTGATGAAGTTTTAGTTTTATTTGTTATTTTTGCAGATGCTATTTGTTTATCAAGTTCATTTTTAACTCGTTCAAGTACAAATAAACGAGATGTTAAAGTATTTTTACCTCGCGGAACAAAACCCTGGAAAAGAAAAAAAGAAAACAAATTATTTCTCATAAAATACTAATGAAAAATGTTCTTACTTTTGTTGGATCATTAAAATTCGGTAAATCACGTGCAAGTACAGCTGATAAACCAAGAGCTATACATATAACCAATCCAAGTAATAGAAAACACCACGAATATTTAACAACCAAAGTTGAATATCTATGACAAGAAATTAATTAGATTTATTTATTTATTTTTCTACTCACAATCGAAGAAGATTTTTTCTATGAAATTCTATTTGAAAACTGCTAGTATAGGTCATATTTCTAATTGAATACAAACGTGCTCTTTTCTTTTTTTTCGACTATTAGAAATAGTTTTTTTTTTGCAAGTTACACTCCAAGTATGTATAATTTCATAAATATAACCTTCGTAAGTGACTACTTCAAACATATACATATAATGAATAAGTATTGAAAAATGAGCATAGAGTACAAGAAGTATAATGTAAATTTGTGACATAATATACATATATAGTTTTCAAGTGATAATGGTGTATGATTAGTTTTATTTTATAAAACATTCAATGTTAGTAAAAGTCATTTATTTTTGTGATATTAGATGTAAAGATCTACCTGTTGTTTTATTATGATTTCCATCGAAACTGATATTTATTATTGATATAAAATATAATGCAAAGGAGACATATAACAAATGACCGTGGAAAGGTCGAAAATAATATAAATGCCCCGTCAGTCTTGTATATTCATTTTACCCTCGTATTTTGATTTTTATTTTCGACCTTTCTATGACATATTCATATAATGACTCATAGTAATATTTTTATTAAATTAAATCATTCTTTTTCGTAAATATATACTCGAGACTTTAAATAATCAATAATCTTACTTTTTATTTAAATATGTTTCTGCTTCATGCATATTAGTACTTATTTATTGAGATAGATCCATAATTAGATTTAACGGAAAGATGAATAAAAAAAAGATGAGAAAAATTTTGAAAGCAATAATAATAGATCTGAAATAAAAATAGGCGGTGAAAAATAATGCATAATAAATAATTTACATTTGATAATTGATTTTTATAAAATAATTATCAACGTTTACACTTATGTATGACAGTGAGAGAGGCAAAAAAATTACAATCGTGTTTCAGTAATTGTAGCTTAGATAGCATCGATAAGAAAAGAATAAAGAATAGGAAAGAGAAAAGAGAAAAGAAGAAGAAACAAGAGTCTTGGAAAAGTAAGCATCTGATGTTTTCACATGTGTTTATGTATATAAGTAAAAGGAAAATAATAATGGAAGAATATGAAATAACCAAGATGTTAAGAATGATATTTATTTATTCTTTATATTTGTGCTTCAAAAAAAAAAAGCCGATCTATTCGAACGTTCTTCTGATGTTTTATTTTTCTCTTGCTCTGCTACTCAACAGGCAGACGTTCACTAGAAAAGAATACGAAAAGGATAGAATCAGAAAGAAAGAAAAAGACGAGAGAATACTAACGACGAAAAGCCGTTTTTTGAAAATATTGGAAAGAGAACTGGATACTTCAGCAAGAAAAGAAGCAGAAAAAAAGAAAAAAAAAGTAGCTGTCATAGTGAAATGATTGATTCAACAATCATCATTACGTTTTTTATGACATAAACTAAACAGGAAGAAAAAAACATACTATCAAATTTATCAATCGAATATAGAAAAATACTTTGGTTTATAAAGTTAACTTTATGCAAAAGAAGTCTGAAATAAATACACTAAATCGTTTTTCTTCATTTCAGATAACACCTGTATAGTCTCTAAAGTAAACAAAAGAAGGAAAAAAAAGCTATTTCTAATCTATTGATTTGTATGACAGACATCGGAACTCATTCATATATCAAAAATGATAATTCTCCATTGATTATGGAATATGATCCAACCAGTTTTTTTTATTAAGAAATTCTATAATCAAATTAAAATCTATATTCTTACAGTGAAACATTTAGAAAGTATTTTTAAAAATACCATAAAAATTATTGTCTATCCAATGTAAAATATTGAATTATTGAAAGGTATTCGATCAGATGTCGCTCATATCTAATCTATGTATGTATGTTGATGAATTGAATGGCAAAGGTATTGATGATAGTAAAGGAAAATACGCTTTAAGTATCAATTATTTCTATCAAAATGAATCATAATATAGATTCAGCGAATGCTACCGGCAGAAGAACCTATAATACAAAGGGCATATAGGTTATTACTATGTAGAATTATATAAAATCGTATAAAAACTTTTGTATATCATCAGACGAAACAACATTTTGCTTTATAACTGTATTCATGGTGATAATGAAGATTAGAAAAGAATTAATCGAATAAAAATGTAATGTGTAGTTATGATTTCTTCGACATATAAGTTAACACATTATAATTATCAATACGATCTTTTTTGTTTTGATTAATTCTATTTTGTCGAGATAAAATCTTGTTTTTCTATACTCAATGTGCTGACATATTCTCAGATATTCATTGCACAACTGAAATCTCTATATTTAGTCAGTAACCGCGATCTATAAAAATTTGAATCACTCAACTGGAACTAAAAATTACAATTAATTCAGAAGAAAAAAATGTAGACCTCCAGTATGTGTCTATATAATTCTATAATAGTCAGAATAGATTTTTTAATAGTTCCACACTACTATATAGAATAAAGAAATCAGTCGATACATGTTCAATGTATATTTTCTTACAACAATAAATATTTTTGAAACATACAGGTAATATTGTCAATGTAATCGATAGCCTCCGGCGTAAACTTCAAGCTTATTCTTCAAAAATTTTCACTGAATAAGATTTTCTTTACCGTAATTATTGTCGATGAAAGAAAAAAAGTCGATCAATTTGTTGTTAGAATTACTTAAGAAATTGATGTTATATATAGAAAAAAAGAACTATGAATCATTCACTGAATATTATGATTCATAATTCTAATCTCTTTGTAATACTTTCATAAGAACATAGGAAATTCTCATGATGAGAAAAAAGAACAAATAGATTCAAATCATTTATATTTCCTCGTATATCTTTTCATAAAAAACATTAACGGAGAGAAAAAGAGAAAAGAAAAAAAAGCTAACATTAAGAAAAAAACCAAAAATAAAATTATAACTGTTTATCGTTTTAATAGATGTACAAGTTCCACCATTTCCTGTGCTAAATTCGATAGACTCAAATTTGTTTGCGGTAAATAACATGCTATTCTTGTTAACATTGTTTCAATAGCTTCTAAATTACATGGTTGAACTTTATAATCAACTAAAGTTGACAATGATCCAAGCCATGTCTTTAATGTTGAAGAAATTTTTGCTCGTATTTCTAATGCTTTTGAAGACAATTTTGTTGTTGTTGAATCAACATTATCTTCAATCATATAATTAAGTCTTAAACCTGCAATTGTAAGTAATTGAAAAGCAAGTGCTTGTCTATCATGAATACGATTTTCTTCATGCATTGCTAAATAATCATAATTATAAGCATATAAAAGTGATATATAATGTCGACGAATATATTCATGATCAACAAGCATATCAGTTGATAAACGTAAAATATGATCAAAAATTTTTTCATCAAATTGTTTAGTAATATCATGTTGTTCAAATATAATATTGAGTAAACGAGAAAAAAATAATTGTCGTCTATTTGATATTGTTCCGTCAACATCATCAGTTACTAATGGATGAGAATGAAGATCAGTAAAAAATGCATGAATACCTTTAGAATCAAATAAAGAAAATGGTTTAACCGATTTTATATGATAATTCATTAGATAATATAAAATATGTATCAATTTATCATGATGCAATACAAGATGTCCATTGGCTGGTTTTTGTTCCATTACAAGTTCAAGTAGAGTAGTTTGTTGGTCATTTTGTTCTGATATTGATGAATTGGAATAAAGATTGATGAAAGGAGACACCGGTTCTGATAAGAAGGAAAAAAACGACAAAGAAATCAATTATGCTATATTTCTTCTATTTATCGAGAATATTATCGCGTTGTTTAGCAGTACTCAATACTAATTCAAGGGGGACTTTTCACCGTGAAAAATCAATTGTTTTTATTTATAATGCGCTTGACAGAATAGAGGGTTCTCTATTGAATATACTACAGTTTATACATTTTGTGATTAGTTTTCAGGATATTGCATCATTTTTTCTGAAACTCTATACTCTTAACATCGTTCATATTTCACGGATAATTGTTAATAACTTAACATTGGAGACGACATCACTATATGGATTAAATAACAATATTCCCATACATCTTTATATGTACTCCTTCAACTCATTCTGATTAGTAATCGATACTAGACTACTTTAAAACTGATTTTACACCGTTTTGTCGTTGAGAATGGATCGAATTATACTTGAAGAACTTATTTTATATATTTTTCTCATAATAAGACTTTGTTTCAAATCTCTCTCGGATTGCTCTCAAAATGAGAACAATGATTTAAGCTTGAGCTTGAACTAAAATAACTATAATTCTAAAAATGATACCTGATTGATCTGATGGCATGCCAATAGTATTTGTTTGCCAAACATCATCAACATTAAAAATTGGTATTTCATTAAGTTGATTATAAATCGATTCAATAAATGTATTAAAAAAATTCTTTGATAATTGTTCAAGAAAATAAATTAAATCCTTTTCATTCAAACGCAATTCTTTATAACATAAACGATCTTTTGGAATTTTACCAATTTTTTCAATTAACTGTGTTAATGTTACTATTCGTGAACGTAAATATGTATGCCATAAAAGTGTCCCTAAATTTTGTTGAATTATTCCAATTTGAATATGATTATAAAATTTAATCGATAAATTAAATAAATCATTAGCTTGTCGATTTAATGATAGAGATGTTGGATTAGCTGCAGATATTAATTGTTTATTCCACATCGTCATAGATATCCAACAAGAATAAATTAATAATACAGTTGGCTCAAAACTATGTGGAAGAATTTGTCGACAAATTGAAAGATTACCTAAAAAGAAATTCTCATCGTTATTTTTGTATTAACTAAACTATAATCTAATGGAAGAATAAATCTAAATCTTACTTTGAAATAAATTTTGTGTTGAATCATTGAAAGTTAATGTTAACCAATTTGGTTCAATATTTGCTTCAACTATTCGACGTGTAATAATTTCAAGTAAATAATCATGTCGATTTTTAATAAAAATTGTTTCAATTGTTAATTGATTTAATATACTATCATCCGGTTGATCATGTTCATCATGATTTTTAATGGATGAATATAAATTTTGTATAGCAACAAGTGCGGATAAACGACGTATTAAAAGTGATGAATTATTTTTCTTATCATATAAACGAAATATTAATGTTAATAAAAGTGCTGTTAAACCATTTGTTGTTTTTTCCATTGTTGTTTTTAATAAAATTTTATTATTATTAATTGAATAAAGAATTGAAAAGATTTGTTTCCATATATGAAGTGATTTTGGTAAATGAAATGATATTGAAAGTAATGAATGTAAACAAAGTAAAACAAGATCATCATTTTTTAAATGAATTGATTGAAGATAGGAACGAAAGTTTTCTTCAAAATTTTCAATATTATTATTATGAGATAACCATGAAGAAAATAAATATGAACCAAGATGAGAAAAATCATCGGAATTAATTGTTAATTTTATTTCAAGTGGATCATCTATTGAATGTATATGACGTGATGATATAAACATTGATTGAAATTGTCCAAAAGTAAAATTTTTCTGAATTTTATTTTCATTAAAATGAACTTTTTTCTTTGTAGAATTTACTTGTTGATTATATTGTCGTTCAAATAATTGATAATAAATATTTGTTTCATCATCTGTTAATTCAAGTTCATTTTGAAATTCCTTTTAGACAAAAAAAGAAATCAATCAGTCATGATTTTTATAATAGGAATTATAATTTTACCTCTTTAGAAAATAATTTTTCATTTTTAGATAAATATTCTGCATGATCATTACGATATTTTTCAATCATTGTATAAATATTAAGTAAATTCAAAGCATTATTACAAAAATCTTGTAAATGTGTACATTCTTGTGGATTATGATGATGAGAATTTTTTTCAGTTTCAATTAGAATTTCATCAAGAAACATTCGTATTGTAGATAAATCAAGATAATTTGTATGAAATAAAAGATCAAGAATTTCAGATTGAGACTCAAGTGAAATAAGTCGTTTGATTTGTTGATGAATATCATTTTTTAATGAATCATGATCTTCATTAGCATCTTTAAGAAGACGACGGACTTGACGTACAATCATAATATCATGTGCTCGTTGATTATTTCGATCACTAAATAGATAAAAGAAATTTAAAAAAAAATGTTTTCGATCAATTCTCTAATTAATTAAAAATCTAATCATTAAGCATATTTGATAAAGACATATTAAGAAAATAATTTAAGAATTTACGTAACAACATATCCTTTTAACATTTAAAATTACTTACATAGGTAGTAAAAAGATTTGTTTAGGTCACATCTTCTTACCTATTTTTCCTATAGAGATACAAGTTAATTAATTTAAACATAAAAAGACATCAGAAGAAGAGAATATCAAAATTCTTTCTAAACTTTCGAAGATATATCGATGTGAAGAATTTTATTAACTGTTAGTAGCCTCTGAACTGAATATGTTAGGGACCATTGAATAAACAGCTACTGGAGTCAAGAACATACTAGACTACAGATTGCAACGACCGGAACCGGAAAAACCTGATCCTGCACATCTGTACTCTGAAAACTATGTGTATGTGTCATAATAGAACCCATGGATTTACTATTTTTCTTAATAATAATAATATAGAAAATGGGTACATAGTTTCAAAACTAGTACATATTAAAGAATTTTTTGTGTTAAATGTTTTGATTAGTTTTTGGAAATCTATAAGTTAATTAATCATATTTTGTCTTTACCTTAATATAAGATGAAATGGAATTTGAAATGTTTTAATTTCTCCATTTTCTTCCAGTAATATACATTGTTTATATTGAGATAGTTTCGATGAATTTGATCCACTACTTGACCAACCAAGTGTATAATGTTCAAGATAAACTAAACGACTATTTTTTGATACATTGAAAGCAGCAACACGTGCACCTTGTTGACAACCCCATATCTAAACATTTCAAATAAATAAATTTTTGACGAAAGAAAGAAACTAATCATACTTCAACTAATTGACGTTTTGGTGCATGTATAACAAGAAAAAGTGCAGATTTTCTCGATGATAAACTCATTGTTACATCACGAGCTGTTGATTCTTCAATTTGAATAAAACCAATTTCAGCTTCACGATAACCTTTAAATATTCGAATAGCAATTCCTCGTTGAATATCATAAAGAATAATTCGACCAAAACTATCACAAACTGCAGCTATATGAAGACCTGGTGAAACAATTATTTTTTCACCATGTCGACGTAAATCACGAATACCAAATCTAAATTTTTAAATATATATATATATATGTATATATTTATCGTTTAACTAATAATTAGAACTGTTTTTTTTGTGTTGTTGTCTAATACGTACCTACTATCAAGTTTTGTTTCTGATTCAATTTTTGGTTTACGTGGATCTGAAGTGACTGATGCTTGTTTCGTTGGCATCCATCGACTATGAAAAATTTCAATAAAATTGATATAGAAAATAATACGAAATCAAATATTACCTAACTGCAGATATAAATGAAGTTTTAACTTTATCAGCAAGTGCAGCAGCTACTTCTGTTAAATGAGGCATTTGTGCACCCTTTTAATAAAATGAAATAAGAAATTATTTTATCTAAAATAATTACCTCAGCACAATAATAAAAATTACAATATGGATCAGCACCAATAGTAATTAAACGAGTAAATAGAGGTGGTACAGAACGAATCTAAATTATAAAATATAAATTAAAAGAATTTCGAAAAACAAAAGTGAAATACTTGAGCTTGATATCCACCTGTCATGGAAGCTACACAAAATTGATCGAATTTATTATCTGTTATTAATCCTATAATTATAAATAAAATATATATAATAAAAATAAAATCTTATTTTTTCTATACCTGCAGGTGCAAAATCAAAAACTTGATTTTGATCATGAAAACCCCATTTTTTAAATGATAATTGTGGTGATGATGAAGATATTATATTACCTATGGAAAAATATCAAATAAGAATTGGTGTTTATTTGGACTCCTTCTCTCGTTACTTGATTTTAATGCATGATCTCGACAAACTTTTAATAATTGATATAATGATAAACCATCAACAACAACAAGAATCGATGAACGATATTGTATATATAATTCATCAGGCTAGATTAATTCTAATATATTAATAAAAAAGAAATAATTTAATCGAAAACTAATACTTGTTCTGTTAAACTTCGAACGTGGGATGGAAATTGTGTATGACATTTTAATTGAACAACTAATTCATCATGAAATATTTGAGAAAATAATAATGTACCATCCTCAAATTAAACAACTATTTATTATTTATTTCAATAAATACATTTTTTTAATCTTTACTTCGGTATACATTCGAACATAACCAGTAGTAAAACCAACAATAATACATGTCCATTCTGGTGATGATCTAAATAAATACATTAGATATTATATTTCTCTAAAACAACTGTAAAATTCGCGCTGTTCAGTAATTCTACCTTTTAGTATTTGATGCAATTGGTAAACAAAGTACACTAGTGATTCTTTCACTAAAAAGAAGATAATTGTTCATAGTTAGTTTCGAATTTCTTAAATTCTAGTACTTTGATTCAACTTGTAGTCTTGTATCAAACGCTGCTATGAAATTTGATTGTTCATAATTTGAAGTTTTATTTCTTGCTAATATTTTTATTAAAAGAGAAGAAACAAGTTGAATGATAGCATATAGAATATAAATTAACCTGTTGAAACAACAATTTGTTGATCAAAAGCAACAACAAGAAGATTAAGTATTGGTGAAAATGCTAAATGACATTCACGTAACCATTCATGACGTTTATCTGATAGTTTTTTCTTTTTCTTTCCTTGTGTAGAAAGTAATGCCGCTGTTCGAGCAACACTTTCTGAAGCTTGAGAAATATATTATCGTAAATTTATTGTTAACTAAAGAGAGAAAATTAATCTCACTTGGTATTTCATCATCCTCTGTTGCATCGGTATCCGTTGTCTGATAATCATTATCACCTATAGTATTAAGTAGATGAGGTAGAAGAACAGCTCGAATTCGTGATAAATCATCGATTGTTGATATTGTACTTAGAGAACAAGCCATCTGAAGAAAAACAAATGTAGAATATTCTAAACTATATCAATAGAAACAATTCATAATCTGATAATTTTATTTTTTAGATTATTTGCTATAAATTTTAAATATTCTCAATAAATTCTTAATGACAAATGATTCTATTTCGAATTTATATATTGAAATGATTGGCCTTTTTAAAAGAAATCTTTTTTTATAAAACTTATTGCATTATATCATATTTTCTAAAATAATATATTCTATTTTTATATTAATAATATATTCACTAATGGAATCAGCTGGTTCAGTGATATACTATTGGACAAAAACATTTATCCATTTGAAAATAAAAGAAATTTTTAAAACATTTTCGTTTTTTCTTTTAAAAATCTCATGATAGAAAAGAGATTCTTTCCTTTTAAAAATTAATTTATAAATCGTATCACTAAATTACTGCCAATCAATGACATCTACTTCACGTTATTCTAATTGAAATGTTAAATAAAAATCATTTAGTTTACAGATAAATATTTATGAATTTTTTGTGTTGTAATATAAAACTATACGAAATAAAAAGATTTTTCTCATCAAAAAAACTAATAATAATTTATGTGATAATTATAAAATCTAATGATGTCATTTATTGTTTATACATGCTTACAGGAAAAGGAAAAGACAAGTTCAAGTATAATGATAGAAAGGAAATTTAAAAAATGCCGGACGCATTTGTATCTCATTCTATTGCAGGTATACACAGCATTTATGAAGAAGAAGAAGAAGAGGAGAAAGATAGAAGAAAAGTGTGTATGTAGCTGCTTGGTAAAGAAGCATCAGCACGCACTAATGAAAGTATTAAGTTAAAAAAAAAACCTTTGAAAAGTATATGTGATGACAGCTTCTATAGAAATGTAATCTTCCTATTTCAGTGCCTCTTTTTTCTCATTTTACGGAGGTTTCATTACCAAAAGGCGCAAAGCTGAACGAGTATAATACAACTCATTTTCTGGATTTATAAAGTATCTTTATAAAATTTTGAACATATAGTATCATGAATAAATCTGAAAATGATATTCAAATTCTAAACGATACAACTAGACCTTTAAATATTTTTCATCGATCAATTCGAGTAAGATTTTACCTACATTCTAATTAATGATAAATATTTTTTTTTTCTTTAGATAATATCCAGATTTGCAAATGTAAGTTTATTGATATATGTTATTATTTTTATTAAATAGTTTCAATAGTGTATTTGTCGACGTCAAACTAAATTACAACATACAGATTCATCTCTTGAAAAGTTAACTCCAAAAGATAAAGATAAGAAAAGGTTGATTAATAAATTTCAAAATTAGTTTTTTTCTTTATCGAAAATAATTCTAGTAGTGAACATTGGGTTTTTGATCCACAAGAATCATTTTATTATTATTGGTCATCAATTGTTTCAATAGCAGTTCTCTATAATACAGTCACACTTATTGGTCGTAGTGCATTTCTTCTTCTTCAAGAACGTCTTTTAATTGTTTGGCTTATTTGTGATTATCTTTGTGATATATGTTATATTTTAGATACACTTATACAAACACGAAAAGGTTTTTTATTAATTAATAAAGAAAATCAAAACAAACTTTTTTTTTGATTTTCTTAGGTTATCTCGAACAAGGTCTTATTGTTCATGATTTAGTAAAATTACGAAAACATTATATACAAAATCCAACATTTATATTAGATATTCTTTCATTATTACCAACAGATTTTTTATATTTTATTCCAAAACTTTATCTTTTACCATCATTACGTTTTAATCGATTATTTCGTCTTTATCGTTTTGTAGAATTTTCTGATAAAGTTGAAACACAAACAAATCATCCAAATATATTTCGTCTTGTTTCATTATTAACAACTATACTTATTTTAATACATTGGAATGCATGTTTCTATTTTATCATTAGTCGATGGATTGGTTATTCAACTGATCCATGGGTTTATAATATGACAGCACCAACAGGTACAACATTAACAACACAATATATATATTGTTTCTTTTGGTCAACACTTGTATTAACTAATATTGGTGAAGTACCTCCACCTGAATCAGATGTAAGACAATCATTCTTTTTCGATTTCATTTATAACAAATAGTATGACGGAGTAAAATTATGATAGACAACAGATGTGGTAATTAGATGTAATGCCTAAGGTTTTTATATGTCATGCCTTCGAGATAAATAAAATATAGGAAAAAAAATTCTGTTCTGATATATATATCTGATAATGCTTAAAGCAGAATATTTGATAGTCAATAATGACTATTTATTATTTGAATGTTTAGGTTGAAATTCTCTTTGTTACAGCTGATTTTCTTATGGGTGTAATAGTTTTTGCTACTAGTAAGTTATATATATTTATTTTACATTTCAATATATATAAGATGTGTAGTTGTGGGTAATGTTGGTTCAATTATTGCTAGTATGAATACTACACGTGCTGATTTTCGTCAAAAAGTTGATCAAGTTAAATCATATATGGAATTTCGAAAAGTTGGAGCAGAACTTGAACGACGTGTTATTACTTGGTTTGATTATTTATGGTTACAAAAACAAGTTACTAACGAAGATGATATATTAGGTAATAAAAACATTTTTATGTTTTAAAAATAGAAGATTTTTTTATCTGTTTTTTTTGTTTATAAAAGAATCTTTACCAGAAAAATTACGTGTCGAAATAGCTATACATATACATTTAGCTGCATTAAGACGTGTACCAATTTTTTCTGAAGCTCAATCTGGTTTACTTGTTGAACTTGTGACAAGACTTAAATTACAAATTTTTAGTCCAGGAGATTATGTTTGTAAAAAAGGTTTGTTTATTTATTAATTATTCATATTTTTTTGTCTCTTATATTTATGAGAAATGTTGTTTTTTTGTCTTAAGGTGATATTGGTAAAGAAATGTATATAATTAAACGTGGACGATTGAGTGTTGTATCTGATGATGGAACAAAAGTATTTGTTACACTAGAAGAGGGAAGTGTTTTTGGTGAAATATCTATTCTAAATATTCCAGGTTTGATTCAATTGTTTTGATAAGCATGAATTATTTCTTTTTTTTCTAGGAAGTAAATCTGGTAATCGTCGTACAGCTAATATTCGAAGTGTTGGTTATTCGGATTTATTTTGTTTAACAAAACAAGATCTTTGGGAAGTCGTAGCTGAATATCCATCAGCTCGTGATACATTACTTGAACGGGGAAAAGCACATTTACGAAAAGATAATTTATTAGATGAAGATGCAGCACAAACAGCTCAACAAGATCAAGAAGCTCTACCAGATAAAGTAGCAGAAATACAAGAGAATATTGATAAAATAGAAACACGTATTGCACGTATTATGGGTGAATATAAAGCAAATATGAATGCACTTGGTCAACGTTTACAAATCATTGAACATTTAGCTGAAGAAAAACATGGCGTTTTAATTGATGATAAACATAACCAACAAAATACTCTCGATCTTATCAATATAGGAACTAATGACAATAATACTTGATTACTCTCTCTCTACATATATTAGTTCTTCTTTCTTTCTTTTTTTTGTCTTCTACATTCCACAAGTATTTATATATAATATGTATGTTATTTGAGAAGTTAGTTATACTAAGTTCACATGATGTTCAGAACTCACGTACATTGATACGTAATGATCGATCAAGATCAATATACAATGCAAAAGAACAAATTTTTTTTATAAATATATTTAATCAAGATTGATGTAAACTTTATACACATACATACAAAAAAAAGACGAAAACTTACAGATAGTTTAAGTAATGTAATCTTTAGCGAATTATTTCATATCTTTATTTGAATAACTGACATTCCAATAGATACATATATATAACTGCTCAAGAAAAGTAACAACATACCGACTTGTTATTTTTCTTTTTAATATTCTCTTGAAATATGATTGATACATACATAACATTTTCTCAGTATGTGATCTCTCAATACTCACATACTGATGAATATTTTTTTATATGAAGATAGGAATCGTGCTGTTTTTTCAAATATGTCGGCAGAGTATATATATATGTATCATGTAAGAAGAAAGGGAATGTTCTTTTCTTCATTTACAGACAAAGATAAGGATCATCAAATTTATTACCACGCAAAAAAAACAGGTTTGAAATGATAGCAAAAGATATATTTAATGTAGAGTAATATATCATTTATTTTGTTGTTTCTTTTTATTTTATAATATAGATATACTCATAAACGTTTATCGATATTTCTAATTAGATGAACTTGTGAATAATCTACTAGACATGCGATATGTCAAGAAATGTAAAAGTCAACCATATATTGACCGTTATCGCTGTCTTCTTTCAAGTCATCTTTATGTCTTCTGCTTCGTTGATTAGAGTGGAGAATGAATAAATTAAAGTTATAGAACAAGCAGCATGCCATTCGTTTATTTCAAACTTTATGATCTCTCTATATATGTATACATGAAGTAAAAAAGAGGGAGGCTATTGAGGACTGACCGTTTATCCTTTTCTCCTTCCAGAACAAGAAAAGAGATTCGTTCTCTTCTCTCTTTCTCTCTCTCTCTCTTTTCATATAGCTCCCACATTTCTTTGTTCATACGGACGAACATAGTATACAAGGCGATAGAAGACAAGTAGACATACATCATCATTCGTTTTAGATCTGTTCACATATTTTTTTTTGTTGTCATCTGTTTTTGCTAGCAATACAATGGATAATATTGGTGCAACATCATCGTCTCAAACGAGTCCCAATACTGGCAATCCACTCAATCCTCAACCTATTCCACCATTAGCATCTGAGCCAGCAACAATATCAACAATTGAATCAATTGTTTCAACTCCATTGGAACCTGTATTGACAACAGTAGAACCGGTAGGACAAATGAATGTTGATGGGAATGTTCAAGCTCATTTCGATATTAATTATCAGGCACATGATGTGGCATTAGCATCAGTACCATCACCAGCTAAAACAAATGATCATCGATCAAATACTGTTTTCGCAGCAACCGAACATCATAAAATGGATATAGATGATAGTGATGAACATCCTGAGAAATCAAAATCATGTTGTTCAATGTTAAACAAATTATTTCTTGCATTGGCTATTGTATGTTTTGCATTATTTCTATGTAGTATTGCATATATTGTTGCCAATCTCGAAGGAGTAAGTATAATCACAATATCTATTGTTTGTTTGATGATTGGAGTAGAAGGCTTGAAGAGAATAGATACAAATATATATATATATATATTGAGTATGTGTTTGTATGTATTGAAAGGATTCACGATTGAACGAACTACTCTTGTGTATATAGTCAATACAAAAGCTATTTTCAAGGACAAACACACTGTGTAATTAGAGAATGTGTAGAAAAAGAAACAATAGCCATTCATTATCATCTTCTGTTCATCGGTTGATTGAATAGAAATATGCCAGATATATCCCGTCTGACAATTGAAAGACGGACATCTTTATCAATATGATGTATCTGTTCAAGGTTGATATACGATTAATTAATCACTGATCAAATCAAATAGAAACTAAGATTCTCTTTTGATGTGTTCAATGAGATAGAAAGATGTTGTTTTTCTTTTTTAATCCGAAAAAACAGACAGGGAAAGAGAGAGAGAATTTTCTATAATGCAGAATGATAAGATTTGTATATTGATAAATAATGTGAGTAGTTCGTTGGTTAATATCAACAGCTTCTGGTTAAGGTGTGTAAGAACACTTGAGACAATGCCATTATGAAGTACACTTGAAAATTAGAAGTGTCATGCAATTTTATTGAAATAATTTTTTTAAAAGCTACTAGTGATTTTATGCTAAAAAATGCATTAAATTGTAAGTTATAGTTGATATAAAAAAATGTTAGATAATAAAATTAATTAAATTTTCAATAAGTATTATTCTTAAGATTTACACACTATAATATGATAAACAAGAGGAATTTTTGTAGTTATGTTGTAGTCTGTATATATCATATTTTCATTAGTATCAAAAAGATATATCTCATAGTGTGACTATTTTCCAATAAAATTTAACATTGATTAATAATCAGATGTCGTGATATGACTCTAAGTATTAAAGTCAATTCTTTTTTTATATTTAAACTTGTACTAAACACACATATGATTAATTCTCTTAATTTCAATTTATTTAGTTAAATGGTAAATATGATGGACGTGTCTTATCGAAAATAAATTATCCATATCCAGTTGGCGATGATTTAAGTTCATCCGAACGATTAATTACAGAACCCTATTTTAATTTAACACATCCAAATAATAATGGTATGATTGTAATTGTATCACGTCGTGGTGCATCCGTACATGATATATTAATTCCATATAAAAATAAAGATGGTTCAAAACAATATCGTTCAATAGTTATTAAAGGTGGAGATGAAAATCATTTTGGTGCCGTACGTTTTGGTTTCAATGATCCATCAAATACAATGAATATGGTTAATCAATTACCAACACAATATCCATTTTTAAATTTTTATAAAGAAGATTGGCCAATGTATGCTGATATGGATAAACCACATCGTGTTCGTTTTGTTCATGGTTTAATACAAATAATTTATGAATTTTCCTTAATTAATTTCAATGAATTTATTATGACAACAATGATTGCAACACCATCAAATCAACAAATTATTGTTGATCCAACAAATAATATTTACTTTAATTTACGTAGTCATGGAAATTTAACTACAGTATGGAAAAGAATTTTCTCAAATAAAAAAACTTAATTCTATTGTTTTCTAGCATTATTTAAATTTAAGTTCATCAGATCCAATAAATATAGCTAGTGGACAAAAAATGGAACAAGATCGATTAATTCAATCACAACGTGTTGATAATTTGGTGCATGTTAATGATTATTTCTATAAAGTTGATCGTGCTGGTATTGGAAAAAATTATATTGCAACGTATGATTGAATTTTTTGTACTCAAATAAGAAATTTTCTTGTTTTTTTCTTTAGATTATCAGAAAGTGAAACTAAAACTACAATGCATGTTTTTAGTAATCATGCTGGTGTAGTAGTTGATCCATTTGGTGTTGGATTTTCAAATGAAAATATAAAACATATAACAACAATACCGGATATGCGTGGTGTTCGAATAAGTCCACGACAATCACCTGTTTATCAACCAATGGTAAGAAGAAGAAAAAAAAACAATCGATATCTGATAAAGAATTTTTTTTTTTAGTCAATTTATGGTCCAATATCAGTTGTTTTTCCATCACAAGCTATTCATACAACATGGTGGCAATTTGAATATGAACATTAGAAGTAGATATTTATTATCTTCTGCTTCTATCAATAAGTAACAACGAATTATAACATCATCTGGATGTTATATATAAATATAGAAACTTTTCATGTTTTTTTTTGTTGTTCAGTATTTCAAGTTTATCTGAACATAGATTTTTTTTTCCTCTATATGTGTGCTTGGTTTTTGTTGTCTTATTGAATTAGTTTGTTCATTTATATCTTTAAAAAAAATAATAATACAATAATATTTCTCTTTTTTTGTTCTTATTGTTCTTGGTATTGATGTGATTGTTACTGAATAAATAAATAAAGGTTTATGTTCATAAATATCAAGTTTAAGAATGGATGGTTTATTTTTTTATTTCTCTTTCTCTTTTTATCCTGAGCATAAACAAATGAAAGAATGATGAAAAAGAAAGAGAGAGAATATCGATATATATATACATAAGCACAGAAAAAAATGAATTGCATTTTTGCACAAACAAGAATGATTATAGAGAAAAAAAACAAATACAACTTAATCACGCACTACATGATAGTTAGGTGGTCAAAAAAAAATCATACATAAAAATGTACGAAAATTTCGTTGAAGAAAATTGACTTGTTTGATCGACTTTTGTTCATTCACTGTATTGGTTTGATTTTGTAATACAACTGATCATAGATATGCCAGTTTTATTTTTCGTTGCAATCCATATTATTGATTAAGAAATAAACAAAATTGAACAGTGAGAATATAAGAGTTAAGAGTAAAAATAGATTCTTTTATGCGCTACCTACATAAATAAACAGACAAAACATATTTGGTGGTGGAAGACACGTCACAAACAATTAAACAAAATGGTTTAAATGGAGAAATAAAAAGAGAAAGAAAGAAAGAAAGAAAACAGAACACCACCACCACCAACACCATCAAGAGAACATAATTGTTATCATCAATGCACATGTAAAAAATTGAAAAGTATATTGCTGTTTTATTGAGATTCATATCTTTTTCTTGTCAATAACATCACTTACAGCTTCATTCACTGTTGACGACATTGACCTAAAAGAAAAACAACAATAAATATAATGAATGTACTTTTTAAATAAAAAAGGAAATGCTCCTTGAAAATCTAAAAGTTATATTTAAAATAAGAATAGAAACACTCCGTTTCTTTTTATTTGACTAGTTTGTTATAATCAATAATCAGATTTCAATTATAATGAGGGGATTTTAAAAGTTTTTCTCACGATAGATAATTAAACTTAATTATCTTTTCTTATTCAATTATTCCTATTACAGGAAAAAAATATTCTAAGTTTATTTTTATTAAAATAAAAGGAAAAATTTCTATTTACTTTGTATCTTCATCATTATCGTCATCATCTTCTCGTACGTCATGTAAATTACTTAAAGAGCCAATGCACACTCGAAAGAGAAATTGAAGAATAAACTAAGAAAAAAGAAAAATAAATAATTATTATTTTATTAATCAACTAAAACAAAAAACTTACAACAAGCCAATAGATATTAAGACCAAGCAGAGTCCATAATAATACATTGAAGAATCCATACAAACCACCGCCTTTATCATAGGCACGATAAGCAGGAGTAACTCCAGCTGTATATAATACTTTTATTGGATACCAATACATACGAAATAGAAACCTAATTAAATAGAATAATAAATTAATTATTTCTTTTTTTCTATATTTTTCATACCAACAAAATGTAAATATAATAAAACAAGCAGAAGCTGCATGTTCCCAAAGTTTTCCATTTTCTCTCGAGCCCAAATAATGTAAAACTTTTGTTAATTCAAGCCAAATATCGGTTATATCATGTACAAAAAGAACAAGTAAACCAATTTTATGATAACTATAACGAGAAAAAGAAAAATAGAAATAAGAAGATTAGCTTTCTTTTTAATTCTACCGAGTCGCATAAGATACAAATATTAAAGTCATTGTTAATACATGATGAAGAAGCATAACATAAAAATCTTTACGTTTATAATCCATATAAAGTGTACCATAAATGGAATGTAAATAAAATCCACATTGTACAAAATACATTATCTGTATATCAAATGGAACATCCATACCAGGTGACCAATCTGATATTTTAAATAGAAAATTTTATTGTAATTCAAAAAATAAATTCTTCAAAAACTTACCATCCCAAATTAGATGAGGCTCATGAAAATAATTATAACGATAAGAAAGTAAATAAACACAATATGACCATGTACATGTATAAAATAAACATTTCCATGCTGATTCAGGACATTTTTTTTTATCAACAGGCTTTAAAGCAAGCCAATTTACTAATGGCTAAAAAACAGAATTTTGTTGAAATCTTCTTAGGGATTTGCCGTAAAGAAAATAGTGGGGGAGGAAGGTGCAGAAAAAATAAACTTTTATATATACTTTTTCAATTCTATATCATGATATTTTCGAGAGTTACTCATTCAACGACTCTTAAGATATGATTCATCGAGTTTTCAATTCAAACATGTACCTTGTTCGTAATATTTGCAAGAAGATATTTTTGTATCGAAATTTAGCATTGAATTTCTATTAATAACCAGTTCTTTCGATACAATATAGTATAAATTCGTGCTTCTTGTAACTATGTTTTTAACTTCTATCATTACTGTTACAGACAGTAAAAAATCTGATACCTTGAGATACTCATTTCAACATAAATAATATTAAATGTATTCAAAGAAATCTTACAGGAAATGCTTAGTAATATAATTGGTTTTCTTTTATGAGTATCTATAGAAAACTTCCTGATATAGAAATGGAAACTTTATCATAATGTCAATAAATTCTGAGAGTATGTTATGAACTACATGCTCTCGAGGAGAATTTTTTTTGTATGAAAAAATCTTGAACAAACCTTGCAAATATAATTTTCAAATAGATAACGTAAGATTGTAACGACTATTGCTATATAAATAATATAATAAATTTGATTCATTGGAAAATAAAAATGTCGTGTAAAATCTTCAATAAATGACTGTGGAATTTTATAATCACGCCACATATGTGGTTTATAGTACCATGAGATTGCAGTCCACATACCTACGATAAGATCAATATAATTAGGTGTTGTAGTAAAATTTCCTTTTAAATTTTTCCATTCATCTAATTGTTCTTGTGTTAAATATGGATGATCCATAATTATGATGAGCAATAAATCAATATTATTAGAATAAGATAAATATTATTTTTGATTCTCCTTTATGAAGTCAATCTGTCATTATAAATAGACGTCAAATCAAGTTTGATTATTTGATGTATGCAAGGTTAAATAATACTATACATAAGGTAAGTGTATAGTCTATGTGTGACAACTAAAATTACAGGTAACAAATTATATATTATACATATGTTCAAACGGTAAAGAAGAAGAAAAAAACTAAGACTATTCAGTAGAGCAACTCGTTTCTCGCTTCCTTTTTCTAGTTAAATACTTTTCAACGACTGTGATATTAAGTATTGTGAAAGAGGAAGGCAAAAAAAAAAGAAATGACAAAAAAAGTAATGAAAACTAATGACTCATACATATGAGTGCAATCATAAAATAAAACAAGGAAATAATGAGAGGAAGAGAAGAAGTAGCACGAACACGAACTCGTATCGGTGCTCTGTATGAACCAATCAAAAGATAATATTGAATCCTCCAATACAGTCTATGAACATTACCATAAATAAGAGAGTTATGCACTAATAGTTCATCGATCTCTTTGACTTGTTCAAAGAGATTTATGAGATAAAGTCAAATAGCGCGAATCAAAATTAATTCCATATTAATAGATGTTCTTCAGATAATAACTTACGTAATTGTATAAAGAGTACTTAAATCAATAGAGTATAATTTGATAATAATAGTTGATCCGAAACTTAAATTAAAGTTTCACTTAATATATAAGTTAAAATTTTAAGAGGTAATGTTCCTCGGGCTGGATACCTTACAGTGAAAATCTCAACTCAAACTATTGAGTGTAGAAAGATTTATCTTGAAATTAAGGATCAAAATATGGGTGTCCTTGCGTCTCAAATTCCTCCGTCATTTCAAACGGTGAAAAGCTCAGATTAAATTAAGTATGTAGCCAAGCTTTAGCGCTGCAACTTCACAAAGGTGAATTTTTCTTTTGATTTATCTTACACGAAAGGTTTGAGAGTAGGGTGAGTACTATAAAGCAGTTGACTATCATTAAATATTGAAGGTAAAATTTAAAACTTCGGCCCTATTAAGTTATACAACTAATTGCGCTCTTCATTTTGAGATCAACCCGAGAGAAATTTAGGATAAAGAGAGGACGTTAAAACAAAAATCTTATTATGCAAAAAAATGCAAAATAAATTGTGGAAGTATAATTTAATGCTTTCTTCAGATAGTTTCTTATAAATCACTGATTAGAATGAACTGGGGAGTACATATAAAGACGTATGGGAATATTGCTATTTGCTCCATATGGTTATGTCATCTCCACTTTTAAGTCATTAAGAATTACCTGTAAAATATGAACGATGTTATTTTTAGAGTCGAGTTTCAGAAAAAAAAACTAATCATAAAATGAATAAATTGTTGTGCGTTTGACAGAGAAAACTTTATTCTATCAAACACACTATAAATCAAAAAATTGACTTTTTAGGGTGTGAGAAAAAGGATCCTAATAGAATATTTACAGCTAGTTGATTTCAAAACATTTGTTTGATTTACTAAAGAAGAACTATATTTATTTCTTATTCTTAAATGATGATATCATGCGAGTTCTTGAAGAAATTAGATAAAACGTGTTTAATAATGTAAAATAAGCAGCGCATTGAGCGTGTCAATTAAGTTTTAATCTTATAATACTTGAAAGAATTTTATATATCTCAATTGCACGCATCTCCATGTTTGATATTAATATTATGAAACAATGATTCTCTCATTAGAGAGATAATTGTTTTGTAAATCTTACATTATTACCTCCATCTTTTCTAAAGTCTTAGTTTTACATTAAATATCACTAAAAGAAACGAAAATTTTTTGTAAATAAACCAATGATTTACATTTCTTATATATAAATTTGTTAAAATTTGTTTATTATTTTTCGAAATACAAATGAATATTATTGATCAAGAAACGATCACGCACGACAAATAACAGTTCCCTTAAAGGAATTCTATCTGATACATAAAGAACAATTAGTTATTAATTGATGAGATTTTGTCACGTATTTAGCAAACTATACGAAATATTCTTTCAAGTATAATAAGGATAATTCCGAAATTTTTGACAAATATTTTTTTTCAATAGTCCTAAACATTATTTACTTATCATAGTATGTCTTACTACTAGATTCTGTACCATCATTGATTGTTTTACTTCAATTAACAATAAGATTGGACAAGAAATTAATTCTACTTGTTCTACTATAAATTTGAGGTGAAATGAACATTTACATTTTGTACCAAAGTGTAACGCATCTCTCAAAATATTGAGAAAAACATATTTTTATCAAATCATAAACATAAAACTTAGTAAAAACATTTCTATACATGTGTAACAAAACAAAATATTATCTATTTTTTATTATAACTCAATGTATGCATAGATGCAATATTAAAACTATGTACAGTTTACAAAAAAGAATTATAAAACAACATTCACATGAGTAGATTAACAATAGAATTACATCATTTATATACTTTATTATTCTAAGTGCTATATGAATCATTACAATCAATTAAGTTCATTTTATTGATTTAAATACCATTTTTAGTTCATCAATAGTTGAAGATGAAGTTCGCATCTTTGTTACTACAATACATTTGAGATCCATCCTATCATTCACTTGAACAAAACTGTATAATTCTTGTAAAACATTTATCTGTATGATGTTGATTCAATTATTAACTATTTTATTAGTTAAAGTGACATGAAGTTTTTACATTCTTATGTAAATCAATGTGTTTGTACATAGATAACAAGTATTATTGAGAAAAACTTCAAAGTTAAAATATTTCTTGCATCTTTCTATATATAGTTTTCTGTGGTATTTCATAATAGAATCATGTAATATATATATTTTTTTTATCGCTATTAAAATTGATACTAATGTTCATTTCATTTGATTTGTAGTACTTAATTCATATATCAGCACTGGCATGATATAAATCTTTGTATTAGGGTTTTTTTTCTTCTTCTTAATAATGCTTTTGATAGTATGTATGTAGACGACCATATTTTTTTTCTTTCAATCGTTCTTCTTCTATTCTCTTTCATCGTCTTATTCTTCTTTTTTTTGACGAGAATTGCTCGTTTATGGCTGCTATACTGTTGGATCAAGACAAAAAGGAAATTGACGAATAGAAAATAAGAAATGAATGCAAACTGGGCACGGCGCCAAAAGATAGGATAGGATAGGATAAGTATGAACGAGTGCAACAATTGGATGCATATAGTAAGCAATCTAAAGACATAAACGACGATGCTAAATGACAATATCAAAGGAACTGACGCACATCAATTTATACATATACGCATTTGACAATATGTATAAATAATGTTAACTTTAAAAATGATAAATGGAACATTTTTTTTTTCACAAGATAAATGTTTTTTCGGAAGCTTAAAATAAAAAATAACATATGTAAGAAGCAAAAAAATCAACAACGAAAATTTTGATAAATGTGATCAATGTATTTGATTTTCAAAGAATTCTATTTAAAGCATCAAAATCCTTTTTCTTTTTCGAACATTATTGATTAAAACTATTGTTTTGTTCATTTATTGAATTTTTAATATTGAACTCGCACTCAAATATACTCGTTCATACACGCCATCTGTACGTATATATATATAGGTTGTAGTATGTCGCTGTTCTCTTTCTTTTATAATGTATACATATATATGTCTCTCTCCCTCTCCCTTTTCTTTTCTTTTTCCAAGTTGTAAGAAGAATTCTTCATCTTCAGCAACTAATGGTTGTGTCTTTGTTGCATTGATGATTGTGTTCTCTTCTTTCCACCAACATTTTCTACATACGAACATATATAT